AGTTTATAGGACCTCTCTCATATTCTATCTTATCGTATCTAAACTCATAGTCATGTATGTCCTCTAACCATCTCATGACACTTTCCAAACCACTTTTATCGGATGTAAAGTAAAAGCATGGATGGTTATGTAAAACGTCTAAAGTTTCTAAAGAGTCTCTCAAAGTCCAGTCTACTTGGTATTGAAAATCCCATGTGTTATAGAACGGCGGGTCCACTATAAAGAAAACATTTTCCTTGTTTTTATATTTTTCATACAACTCTGTCCAATGACATCTCACAAACTCTATACCCTCAGTATATTTTTCTATGTCCTCTTTGAAAACCTTTGTATAGTTAAGATATAAAACTTTTGACATAAGTGTTTCAATGTCATGAACTCTTATAGCACCACTATATAATAGTCTAGAAGATATACTATCCCAGTCAATATACTCTGCTTTTTTCAAAACCTCTCTGACAGTATTTTTCTTATCTAATGGTATACGTTCCATCTTACCTATAGGTATCTTTTCTTTTAACTCTTTCAATATTTTGTTTGTGTCTGGTATATGTTTGAGACGGTTCATATAGTTGTCGAAGTCATTGCATATAATCTTTGAGTCAGGAAATATTGTATGGCACAAATGAGATATATAGAAACTTCCACCGAACAAGTCTACAAATGTTAGACCATTCGGTAGTTTCTTAAGTTCTCTCAATAGAATATCTTTACATCTACTCTTATTTCCAAAGAAGGGTAACGGTGGTTTTGTAAAATTCATTTTATATATATAATAAAAATGTTTTTTCCCTGAAAAGTGACAGAAAAGTGACAAAACATCTTCGGGGCTAGAGGGCACGAAGTGCCTGGAAGCCCCACTACCTTTTTTTTTTTTTTTTTTTTTTAAAAGTGATTGAGGTCATAGCAAAACGGCTGTTTCAGTCATTAATTCTTAAAAATAAAAAGGGTAAAAACTAAATACAATGGGTAAAATTCAATAGTGTCTGTGCTATCGTTCAATTTGAAGGTGTCTTTTGAAACCGCAAGACACATTGAATTTTTGAATAGTGTATTATGGTTTGACAGACACCAATTAAAAAAATAAAATGATATTTATTTTAAATATATTGTTGTAAACAGAAATTCATTAAAAGTGACACCTCAGAAAAGCTAAAATATTGAATTTTTGGAACTTTTGATAGAGCACGTTTTTAAATATTAATTAAAGTAAATGTATATGTTGTAAAGATTCTTTTTAATAAAAAAATAAAATTTTGAAGAAGAACACAAAATCTTCTGAAAAATAATATCACATAAACTCATATTATTTTCTAATATATAACTATTTTATATAAAAATCAAATTCAATGATCTTAAAAGCGAAGGATAAACCTCAAAATTTACGAATATAATGAGTGGGAATATAATGCTTATCTATCATAAAACCATATGAAATATCAATTTTTGCTTTACGCCTAATTTTTGACGACAATTAGCAAAAAATGTTAAATGTTAACACTCAGTCCATTTGAATATGAAAAATAAAATTGACTTTGATTAAATGTTTTTATTTATCATGCAATTCTTCTTGCGACCAAAGATTTGAATAAAATTTCAAAAAATAAGATAGCTTAAAAAATAATATACGGTAGTGTTTACTAATAGATGAATAGTATATAAATTCTATTAAAATGGATTTGATCCAAAAAAATATATAAAATTTGATCATAAATAAAATCGTTTTAAATTACTTCTTCATTTAAATTATAACAATTATTTTTGGTTTTATATTTTTTTGGATCAAATCCATTTTAATAGAATTTATATACTATTCATCTATTAGTAAACACTACCGTATATTATTTTTTAAGCTATCTTATTTTTTGAAATTTTATTCAAATCTTTGGTCGCAAGAAGAATTGCATGATAAATAAAAACATTTAATCAAAGTCAATTTTATTTTCATATTCAAATGGACTGAGTGTTAACATTTAACATTTTTTGCTAATTGTCGTCAAAAATTAGGCGTAAAGCAAAAATTGATATTTCATATGGTTTTATGATAGATAAGCATTATATTCCCACTCATTATATTCGTAAATTTTGAGGTTTATCCTTCGCTTTTAAGATCATTGAATTTGATTTTTATATAAAATAGTTATATATTAGAAAATAATATGAGTTTATGTGATATTATTTTTCAGAAGATTTCATTCTATATGCCTATGAAAAGTACTCTCAAAACTAACTTTTTCCTAATTATAATTAAATCTAGAATATTGTATTATGCTTAGTATTATTTCATTTTTCTCATTCAATTTAGAATTTACAAATGTCAAAAAATTGAGAGCTGTCACTTTTGATGAATTTCTGTTTATTACAATATAAGATCCTTATATCAAATATAAATATTTTATCGTTTTATTTTCTTGTTTTAGAAATGTTTTTTATTGAAAAATCAATAAAACTAACTCCAAAATAAAATTTTTGATTTAAAGACACTATGATGACACCAGGCAAATCTTCCAAGACACCTATCGTCGGGAATCTAACAACCCTAGCATATTGTAACAGAATAGAATAATCACCAAATTTTTTTTGAAATTAAAAAATAAAAGTAAAAAGTATAAAGTAATCTAACCAAAAAAGATATTTAAAAGAATTTTGGAAAAAACAGAATAAGGATAATGATATTATTTTAGATACACAATCGATGTACTGAAGAATAATCCGGTAAAATGATGATATAAAATTAGATTATTTTACAAGTAGCTAAAAGAATAAAACTATAATATAAAATAAATGAAGTTTAATGAAACAATAAAGGTTAAATAAATAATAAAGATTTTTATTTTATATCAGTATTGAGAAGAAGTAACAGCTGACAATTGGTAGACAACTTCTTTATGTCTAGAAAATTCTATCTTGTATTTTATTTTTTTCTCGCTGTGAAACGTATTCGGTCATTTTTTTAAAAATTAATTTTTTGTTAGAGATAAGAGCTAAAACTCGGTAAACAACTTCTTTATGTCTAGAAAATTCTATCTTGCCTTTTATTTTTTTCTCGCTGTGAAACGTATTCGGTCATTTTTTTAAAAATTAATTTTTTGTTAGAGATAAGAGTTAAAACTTTGCAGACAACTCCCCCATGTCTAGCAAATTTAACATTCGTCTCCCATTTTTATATATTTGGTTTAGAATGTTCGAAAATGCGTAATATGGTCATTAATATTAATTGAAAAGAACCTTGAATTAATTCAATCTGATCTCACAAAATATTTTAAATTACAAACTTTGTAGTTTGAATAGAGAATTAGTATTAAACTCAAATAACTAGTTTATTTTTGAATAAAAATTATTTGAATTTATTCAATTTTGTGAATTTTCCTTCAAAAATCAAGTTTAAATATCTTATTTGCCATATAATTATAAATACAATGAAACATATTCGAAATTGAAAGAATGACTTTTTCTGTTCTTTCAATCATTCAATTTGAATTTTGCAATATTGGATTTCTCATTAAATAGCTATTAGAAACAACAAGCAATTTAACTTACATTCAAATTTATTTGTGTTATATTCAATCTTCTCAAAACTTATAATTTTCGGCTATAGCATGATTATATGCTATATAATATAATAAACCTATAATAGTATCATTCTTTCAATTATTTGAAGAGAAAACCGAAAAAATCTAATTTTTATGAATTTCAGATTTTCTTTTCATTACTGCTTTTCTTAATAGGTCAAGTTCTTATTTACGTTATAAAGTATGATATTTACAAATATCAAGTTATCATGTTTTTTGAGAAATTATGAGAAACAAACAAAAATGAAAAAGATAGGAATAGCAATGAATAGTGATGTGGGTATAGAAAATGTAAGAGATATGAATGCAAAGCAATCAGTATTTAGGACATTGACCATAGATTTCAAAAAAAAATGCTGCATATTGAGCGAAAACTATGATTATATTATAAGGCTGTCATTTAAAGCATAATGAAACTATTCCCTTTTCATTTTAATCGAATAAGATAGTAAAGATTTTTGAATTAGCTAGAAACTGATGAGATGTTTTCACAAATCAGATTTTTAATCTCTATAATGCATAATTCACTCAATATCTCAATTTTGATATTGCGAGATATTTTTGCTATCGGTTTCGCAATTTTGACACAATAGCAAGAGGGTTCTATAAGCATTATTATCAACGTAGAATCTGAATATCATATCAGAAAATGTCGCAAATCTGACATTTACCCGACCAAATAGCAAAAATAATTGAATACTTTTCGCAAAAACTTTAAAAATCGATAAAAATATGAAATATAGATATTAAAGAGACTTTTTATATAATATTCATAAAGATTTTCCAAAAATATGATACCGCAAAATTAAAAAAGTGACGTCTTGAGTGGAGTCAAAGGTCGAAATTGCTAGCTAAATGTTTTTTTAGCGAAATTGCGTATTGTACGTTTTTTCGCAAAACGAAACCCTTATTCGGAATTTAATAAAGATTGTTATTAAATGGGAAAACATGAGAAAACTTATTATCGTTAAATAATTGAATATCAGTTCGGAAAATTTGAGGAAAGGTTATTAATTCGATTAATTAGCATTTATCCTAGCTTGAAATATCAGATTGTTTAATATTACAGATATATTGTTTCAATGCGAATTTTCGGTTTTATTCAAATTGGAAACACAAAAAAATAGTGGTGATTTTAATTCGTAAAATATTTATTTATAAATTTGCAACTATAAATATATAAAAGTATTTGTGATAAAATACGTACACAGAAATTTTGTGACGACATCAAATTTTTAACGATTAACTTTGGATTATTTTTTCATTAATACAAATTTATTGCTTCTTAAATAATTTTTGCGTTATTATCAAAAATTTGAATAGTATAGATTTTGAATTTGGGAACCATATGTATCTCTTTATCATTAATGAAATTTCGATTTATATAATCAAATTCAAACACTTTTCAATTTTTTTCAATGTATAAATATGTTTGCGCTTTTAATCATCTTTTCGCACTCAAAAGAACATTCTATCGCATCTAGATCACGAAAACTATCATTACCTCAATTTGGATTCCTTCGTGGCGGTTCCATTCATGTTGAACTTATATCAGAAACTGCAGAAGATTTCCGTTTTCATATGGTTCCAAGAGATAGATATGAAATTCAAATCAGAAATGATTCTAAATACTGTACAATAAAGTATGGAATTATTCCAAGAGTCAGAAAAGAGATTTCTTCTGATTTTAAATATATCGAATGGTACAATCAGATAGAAATTTCCGGTGTATATCAACCAATGATCGTTGTATGCTCAAATGTTACTTCAGAATATCACGTAAAATACGATATCAAAAATCCAACATTCGATTTCGATTATAGATACTTGAAGAGTGATACAGTCTTCCTCATTTTTGATTGTCGTTTTATTTGTTCTGCTGTTCTTGGAATATCGGCATGGTATTTATATCCATCTTTCCTTATTCCAATCCAGCTTTATACAACATTATTGGCAGTGTTAGCAGCAGTTTCTTATGATTTCAATGCATACAAGTATCAGAAAATGATCAAAGAAAATCAATTCGTTAGCAAAAAATTTGAATTATTAAATGATTCACTTTTGATCCTCACAATTGTCCTTTCTCTAATAATCGGGCATTTAGTTAGTATGGGCTATTCAATAATTGCTAAATCAATCCAATACAAGACCCAATTGAATGTTCTCATTACACCAATCATAATTGGTGTTTTTATCTATCTTATTCAGCACGGAGAAGATGAAGTACTGAATATTCTATCGATCATCGCATCCAGTTTTCCAATTTGCTATTACCTGTATAATATCATCAATAACGTTGCATATTTACTTGAAGCATCAAGCGAAGTAACAGATAATACGATGAGTCTGAAGATATCCATGACTTTAAAGGCAATTTCAATATGGATTTCTTCTTTAGTTTTCTGTATCATTTCAATACCTCAAGAAAAAGGCCGCAATTCAATTATATTCTGGTCAATATCCCTTTTCATACAAATTGGATGTCTCTCAATTTACTTTGTGTTTTCTGGTGGATATGTTACAGAAGATGAAGAAGAGGAGACAGTTGATAATGTAATTTATATTGAAGACCCGAATAATGATTCAAGATTGATGGTTCTGGAACCATAATTCTGAAAAAATTTTAAATTTGTTTATTATCTTTTCTTTATTTGTATGTTTGCTTTAAATAAATGTTTGAATTTTTGTTTGAAATCTAAATGAAGGTGAATGAACTTTTCACAGACATCTTCAATAAAAATTTTCCTAGATTTGCCATGTATTGCTATTCTATTGGTTATTATTCAGAAGCAAATTGTCTACATAAGAATGAGATTTCCGTTTTATGATATCGATGGCTTAAAGGGTCATAATCGCAATTGTGATAAAATTCACGATCGTGCATGAATGATAAAAAGTTGAAAAACAACATATCCATACTAATCTAGCCTATTTTAACATAACACCGAATGAAAAATCATTGAAAAAATAATTCGCAATTTTGAAAAATCTAATTTTAGATCCTCAAACCCAATTATCCTGATTAATACAAATTTGCTCTGTTGAAATTGCACACTCTAAAATCATAACCATTAATGAGGGAGGTCGATCCCCAATACGGGAAGGACACAAATAACACAAAAAATACTAAAAAAGGCTTTCGAGCTCGATTTACAGAGGAGGAAGACAAGCTACTGAAGGAATTAGTTATTAATAAAAAAAATACTTCATGGAAAGAAATAGCAAGCCATTTACCTGGAAGAACTGCATGCCAATGTCGCGACAGATATAACCAATACCTTTTCAAAGAAGTTGTAAATAAGCCATGGACTGCAAGTGAGGACCAAATAATTGTTGAAAAATATCGTTTATTTGGTCCTCATTGGGTGAAAATATCACAATTTTTGCCAGGACGAAGTGGTAATAATGTTAAAAATAGATGGAATTGCGCTTTAACAAAATATCACGGAATTTCTTATACATATGCTAAACAAGAGAGAAGATCTAAAAAGGATAAATGGAATAAAGATGACGAGGAGACTGTAACTCAAATCCAAGTCGCCCCTGATCAATGTACCACCTTAATTGATCAGATGACTGATTTCATGATGAAAAAGGTTAACGAGCAAAATGATCTTTTTGGATCAATTGACGAGTAAATATGTTATTATATTTGTGCAAAAGTCCGAATTTTTCCATGTGAAAGAAATTTATCAATAATTTTCGATAGGTTATCAAAAATAATCTTGAAAAGTATTTAACCTCAATATGCTATCTCTAGAAATACCGATAGATAACTTATTAAATAACTAAGGTTTCAAAGATAAGGTGACTTAACAGTAGCTATGATACTCCTATGAATTAAAATAACCATCATAGAGAGTATTCAAAAAACTATGATTTCAAACCTTTGTCAGATTAAGGGTCCACTGTAAGGCCAAATAAGGTCTATCGTCGTCCCAAAAATATTGCTCGAGATGGTTTTACTAAGGCCCAAAACTTAAAAAAAAAACAAAAAAATTAAACTTTACTCTTTTGAGATCCTTATCAGATATGCATCAATTTGATGCAGTATCGCAGTTCAAATCTGATTTTTTAATGTAGATGTACTCTAACATCCTTTAAAAAATGCAAAATGATATTAATTAAGCTTTTCATTTCTGTATCATACACGAAACAAAATCGTTCATTATACTAAAATTTATCAAAGTTTGAATAATGAAAAAAATAATATCTAAATTTTTACATTGAGTCGGCTATTGATATGGTTAATATTAAATCTTGTAAAAATTGGCATTATCCAGAATAATACCCACTAAAATACACAATTTTTTTTAAAAAAAATTTTATCAATTGTTATGGTATATCTTTATGATAATGAATAAAATGCTTGTTTTTCATAAGTAAATACATAATTTATGCTTAAACACAAAAAATAACACGAAAATTTTTGGCCAACATATCTAAACTAAGGATAATGGTTTGAATATATAAACAATAATACTTTGTCCAGGGAATTAAATTTGTGCTATCCAATTGTCAATTCTTTGAATTTTTTTTAAATGCAAGATATCCCGGCATTAGCCTCAATAAATATATATATTATGCATCATAATATTAGTTTGTAATGGCATTAAAGCGAAATTCCTAATTTCTTCTCAATTAAATTCCTTGAAAAACATTGGAATTAATGATTGGAAATAGGTCAAAAAAATTCCTAATATAAAACTTATACTTAAGATAAAATTAAAATTCGAAAATATCTATTTTTCAAAACACGCATCCAAAAGCGAAAAAATTCGAAAAAATCATGTTCTTATAAAACTCACTGATTTTGCAATTTTTATGAGATTTGAAGTGATAGAATATATTACCATCTTATTGAAACATATACTTTATTGTTACATTCAAAAAATATTAATCAGAACACTAGGAAAAGTGGATTTTCGAAAAAAGACGATAATGATTATTTGCAAATCGCCTCTCAATTTTGAGAGACTTTCAATTTTTACAGTGGACCCTTAAGGGTGCACCCGTATGTACGTTTATTTGAGAGGAGGATTACCCTCTCAATTTTGAGGGATTCGTTAGTTTATTTTCTCGATGAATATGCAATAAAATTTGATTTTTACCTTATCAATATACTTCATATAATATACACATGTTCACGTAAAAACTTTTTCCCAAAATCCTCAGGAATTAAGGGATTTTTGAATTTTAAGAATTTTTTTCGAATTTTTTCGAAAAAAAAATATTTTCAGAACAGCCTTAACGGCTAAGATTTAGGAACAATGTTAAGTATCAAAAAGAAAGGAGGTCTGATATAGACAACATATATCGTTGAGGGTTGAAAAAATCTCTAATATTTGAGCCCAAAATTTCAAATTTTAATTTTTTGAAAAAAGAGGCCACCCGTATGTACGTTTATTTGAGAGGAGGAGGATTATATTTTTGAAAGGGTGAAACATTATGAATATGTTAATTATATAATAATATGTATTATTATAAAAAAGAAAAAATAAAGCACGTTAAAATTTTTCTTTCTTGATTTTTTACAAAATCTACTTAGAATTATGCAAAATATGACTAAATAATTATAAATTTCAAGTTAAATTTTAATTTTGATAAATAATTTAAATTTCAAAATATCAAGTTCAGTTCGACTATGTATGTAGTAATTCCTCAATAAAGTGCCAAAACCCTATTAAAATATATGAACATTTTCAACATTTTAATGTTTTTATTTAAAAATTTGTTGGAATATGAGCTTCAAACAATTATTATGTAAATAAAAATAATTAAATATATGTATTTATTCGTATTACAACCGTAGTAAGTCGATTCTTCCTTTCTTCTACTGAGTTTTGAATTTGATTTCGAATTGGAAAGAGATTCAAAGGGAAAATACTAGCGGATAAAAACTACCTCCATGAAAGGGTCATAATGGAGTCAAGTTGTATTTTTTGATATTTTTTGCTTTTCGAGCCTAAATAGGTAGCCAAGATAATGCCTAAAAATAAGGTTCTAAATTCTGAAGTTTACATGATCCTCTCGTGTGCACCCTTAAGGGTGATGTTATGAAAAAAAATTCAATGCTGTTGCCAACTTGCAATTTATATGATTATAATCAGATTATGCAGACTATCAAGAATATTATTAAAATCAGAAAATGCTGAAAAGTGACAGAAGCATAAAATTCCTTATCAATAATGGTTATGATATAAAATCATTTTTAAATGTAAAGAAATAGCTAGCAGGAAAAATTGAGAAGGTTTTATTAATTGAAATTAAATTTTATGCACGTTTCATCTTCTGGGTCACACATGACGTATGCGATGACCGAAGATGCAATAAAACAGACTAAAAATGTGGGACGTTTGCAAGAAATGTGTATCATGCTATTAAAAGAGAACGTTGATTATAGCCAGAAAATAAAATCTAAATCGAAAGCCCCAAGTGTAAATAACGCCCTCACCTTAAAATCAGATTCCAATATCAGCATTTTGCAATATAAACTTAGCGCTTATGACTTCTACAGAAATATTTTAGAAAGAAATTTACAATTACTTGAATCCATTTTAATTGCTGCCTGTAAAGACAATAAAAATATTATCTTACCGAAAACAGACATCGTAAACATCTTTAAAGTCAACAAAGAAAACATAACGAAGATGAAAAACCTCCATGAATCAACAGAAGGCTCGGCACCTAACTCTCCAGAAAAGCCCATTTCCCCAGAAAGGAGGAAATTAACAGCGGTTTCTCCACCTTCAAGAAAACGCGAAATACATGAGTCTCCTGCAAAAATAGCAGAAAATCAAAAGAATTCCAATTCACCAAACCAAACAAAAATCGCTCAGGTTAGAGTACAGACTTCAAAATCTTCACTCGTTGAAACTCGGTCAAATCCTGAATTTCCTTTTATTCAAAAACAAGATTCTGAGTTCAAATTACAGAACAGTAAACATCAACATGGAAATTTCAATCAAGGAAATTCTTCAAAATCACCTTCCGCTAATACTCGGGAATTAAAGCACTTATCAGCGCCATCAAGTGGTGTAAGATCAAAGAGTGCGAGAAAGCAGACGAATGCCGAGCTCGACTCAGAATTTGCCGAAAAAATTCAGGAAAATAGAGAACTTCAAAAACACGTTTACCAAGCGAATGAAGATTATAAGTCCTGCAAGATGGTTTTAAGAGAGAAACGAGAAGAGCTCATCAAAGAAATCGAAAAAAACAAAAAATTAAAGTCAATAATTAACGAAAAAATGGAAAATTTCCAATCTAAAATTACAATAATTACTACAGATATCGAAAAATTACGAGCAAGCAACAGAGATCTCAGAAATAAACTTAACGAAATTGATTCATCAATACAAAAAGGATTAGAACAAATTGAAATTAAAAAGAAGCAACTTGAAAATGCAGTACATGACAAGGAAAATAGATTAGATCAAAAATATAATCAATTACAAAATACGAATACTCGAAGTGAAATTATATCACGTAAACTCGAAACTGAGGGAAAGAACGACTCAGACAAGAAGATTAAGTCATCTATGACTTCACCCGTTTCGTTAACGATCGATGTATTGCTCCAAAATATGGAGATTGAAAAACATAACGTTACAGGAAACATAAAATATTCTTGTGATGGTGCCTTATCTCATCTACAGCAATTTATCGAAGACGATGATGATTCTGACGGAAATTATGATATGCCAGAAAAAACTACAGTACAATTCCACAATTTGGATCTTCCATCTGTTAAACCATCACCTCCAGTGCGTAGATTACCAAATTATTCTGCAGAAGATTCGGATGATCAAGAAATTCCAATAAAATCTAAGCCAAATATTCCAGTAATTCCAAAGAAAGAAACAACAATTCGCTTCTCTCAAGATGCTTCTCCGTCTCCTACTAAGAGTATTTCCCAATTCGTTGAATCTGATACATCAAATGATTTCGACTCTTCAGTTTCATCGAATTCGTCTCATCCTCCAATCAAAGAAATCCAATCTTCACGAGAACTTCCAAAGTTTTCTCTAATTGAAGATCCGGATTACATTAATGAGCCAATTCCACAAACAGAGACAAGTCCAGAAGGTTCACCGAAGAAAGTGACAATAGCTAAGAATTTTATTCCGATAAAACGCCATGGAAGTTATTTGAGTTTAAGTGGGTCGGATTTCCTCGGCTTCAAGAAAGAACATTCTTCACCGAAACCACTCGCAATAACACCGCCACAAAAGCTTAAAGCTCTCAAAGACGAATCTGATGATAGCGACAACGAATTTTCAGATTTACCTCACGCATCTAAATCCTCAAAGGCTTGTTTATCACTTTCTGGAAACTTTGTTTCTCCTAAAGGTCCATTTGACTCTCCGAAAGCAAGATCTCCTTCTCCTGTAACAGTTCATTTAATTCCAAAGGTTCCAAATTCACCTTTAGCTCATCAAGTATCTCCATTTGCTCAGAGTAATGCATCTAACGCTAAATCTTCTGATAACGAACGTCCTTTGAGAAGATTCAGTAGTAATTCAAATGATGAAGACGATTTCTACATCCAAAAGCCAAGAGAGTACAAACCACCAACACCATCGAATGATCCGAATCTTCTTAAGCATGCAGAAGGAGATTTCGTGATTGTTGACAATTTTGGAAATGACAATGATGAAACTCCGATTTCTATCAAACCTGTTGGTCGTTCCAACCCAATTTATGCAAGCGTTTCACCAGAATGTCCAGCGAGAGTTCCTTCCCGAAGAAATATCAAAATGGCGAGAAGAGCGAGTACTCTGGAGATTACTCCTTTCTTAGAAGCTGATCCTGCGCAGGAGAAGGCACAGAATTCATGGGTTGTTCCAACTCCTGTTTCAGTTGAAGATAATCCAGTCGATCTGACAAAGCTTATCGAAATGATTCCTGATGAAGTAAGAAAAGGTCCAAGAGATGAGATTGTATTCGATGCAACTCATAAATTCGATTACGATAATCTTGTTTCGCAACTTCAAAAACATAATACAGTTATGAAGATGAAATTCGAAGGACCTCCAAAGGATATGGCAAGCAGCGAATTACTTGAGCTTTTTGACAGATTATAATTTTATATTTTAATTTTTTATATATTTTTGTATATTTTATATGATATTATTTTTGTAAATATTATATTTTTGTATATTTGATACGTATTGCGGGTTTTTACACCCACATTTATATCGCGATTATGGAAAATTAAGAGTTGTTGATCGAAAACAATATGCATTAACTATATGGTAACTTGGTCGTTAATATGGTATGAAGAGTAAATCTCAATTGATTAATAAGAATTCATATAATGAAATAAATAAGGTTCTTTGTGATTAATAATTTGAAAAGGTGTTTACAAATTTGATAAAGATATAAATGGATTCAGTGCCGTTGTAAAAAAAGAATAAAAAAGTTTTCAAATTTTTTGTTTTGTTTTGATTTTTTTTTAGAAAGAAAAAAATAAAAAACATGAAACAATATAAAAACAAAATAAATACAAACAATCGCATGTATTGAGTTATATCATGCAGTCATCATATAGACACACAAGATGTGGATAGCAGATAAAATAATATAACTTCAAACTTTTTGGTGAAATTAAATAATCGCACTTAGAAAATTTCTTCTTCGAAGAAGTTGAAGACACTCTCGAAGTCAAAGTCGTCTGTTATTGGAAATAAAGAAGTTCCTTCGCTCTTCAAAGAACTGAACTCTGTTGAAACTGGAATTTTTGTCTGCATCATTGATGAAGCGAGGACTGATGGGTTTGGTGATGGGTGTGAAGAAGGGACTGATGACTGTTCTGATGACGCAGATTCTGATGTGGATGATGAAGGTGCAAAAGAATTCGACGCTAAGGCGTATGCTGAGAGAGATGTGTATGGGTGAATTTCGGATGTGCTCGCGTTGATTGTTTTGTTTTGCATATTCATCAGTTTCTTGTATCTGTTCTTAACATGGATGTCGTTCCTCTTGTCGAAGAAAGATGCAATATGTCTCCAGTGTGGTAAGTACTTAGGAACAACTTCTAAGAGAAGTCTGTCTTCTTCCTCGGTCCATTCGCTCTTGTTGACGTCTGGTGAGAGGAAGCGTGTGTATCTGTCTTTGCACTGACGTGGTGTGCGTCCAAACATTTTTGAGGCAACTGCTTTCCAGTTGCTTGTGCCAAGCTTGTTGACGAGAGAAACAAGCTTTGCGTCTTCGCGTGGGCTGAATCTGTTGTATGCTGGCATTAGTTAGTTGCTGATACTATAAATAATGAAGTGAGAGGTTACGTTTCTGTTAATATTCGATTGAAATTTGAGTGCCACATTGATTTGGCTCTCAATTCCAAAAATTGAATAGGTGAGGACCAATTTGACACATTGAATTTTGTGGGACCACTTAAATGGCAAGTATAGAAAAGCGATTGAGACGAAGTTTTAGTAGACAAATGTAGTTTACGCATGCAGTTAAAAGCAAATAAGAAATTTTGTATTGGATAAAATTTTGTTTATTCTGAAAAAATATAAAATTGTTTGAAATTTTGTTCATTAGATTACCCGTCACACAATCCAATGACCAAAAACTCAAAATGATCCTTAATCCTAAATACTAAAAATATTCTTTTTCATTCTTCCTCAAATACATTTCAAACATCTCTCTTAATTTTCAATTTTTTGAGTAGAATTCATATACTGAAGACAAAACTACAAATATCTATTATGCACTTTATAATTAATCGACTAATCATTTTAACGAATAACATTTAATTATTGGAAAGGAGTAATCTAATATCTTAAATGTGGTAACTAGCTGAATCATTTTAGTTGGAAATTCCGCTATTTGATAATTTTGCAATTATTAATTATTAATTTGAATTATACGAATATTCAATAATTAAATAATAAAGCGTTTTAGTGTTGAATGTGGATGATTGTTTTGATAAATTTGATCAGTGATAATAATAATTTAAATTATTTTGATATATCTAATTAAAGCGGAAACTCTTGAAAGGAACATGTAGCATATGACATACATGTCAATATATTTGCCTGTAAAGTTAAACTTTTGAACTCCAAGAAGTAGACTGGCCCAGAAAGAAAAAAGAAATCAAAAATAAAATCAGATGTGGAAATTTTAGCCGGATCGGTATTTATGCTGATAAATATGTGTAAAGAACAATGATATTAATCATTTCGCTTATTAATGAATTTTTAAAATTGAATGGGAGGTAATCAAATGAACAAAATTTCAAACAATTTTATATTTTTTCAGAATAAACAAAATTTTATCCAATACAAAATTTCTTATTTGCTTTTAACTGCATGCGTAAACTACATTTGTCTACTAAAACTTCGTCTCAATCGCTTTTCTATACTTGCCATTTAAGTGGTCCCACAAAATTCAATGTGTCAAATTGGTCCTCACCTATTCAATTTTTGGAATTGAGAGCCAAATCAATGTGGCACTCAAATTTCAATCGAATATTAACAGAAACGTAACCTCTCACTTCATTATTTATAGTATCAGCAACTAACTAATGCCAGCATACAACAGATTCAGCCCACGCGAAGACGCAAAGCTTGTTTCTCTCGTCAACAAGCTTGGCACAAGCAACTGGAAAGCAGTTGCCTCAAAAATGTTTGGACGCACACCACGTCAGTGCAAAGACAGATACACACGCTTCCTCTCACCAGACGTCAACAAGAGCGAATGGACCGAGGAAGAAGACAGACTTCTCTTAGAAGTTGTTCCTAAGTACTTACCACACTGGAGACATATTGCATCTTTCTTCGACAAGAGGAACGACATCCATGTTAAGAACAGATACAAGAAACTGATGAATATGCAAAACAAAACAATCAACGCGAGCACATCCGAAATTCACCCATACACATCTCTCTCAGCATACGCCTTAGCGTCGAATTCTTTTGCACCTTCATCATCCACATCAGAATCTGCGTCATCAGAACAGTCATCAGTCCCTTCTTCACACCCATCACCAAACCCATCAGTCCTCGCTTCATCAATGATGCAGACAAAAATTCCAGTTTCAACAGAGTTCAGTTCTTTGAAGAGCGAAGGAACTTCTTTATTTCCAATAACAGACGACTTTGACTTCGAGAGTGTCTTCAACTTCTTCGAAGAAGAAATTTTCTAAGTGCGATTATTTAATTTCACCAAAAAGTTTGAAGTTATATTATTTTATCTGCTATCCACATCTTGTGTGTCTATATGATGACTGCATGATATAACTCAATACATGCGATTGTTTGTATTTATTTTGTTTTTATATTGTTTCATGTTTTTTATTTTTTTCTTTCTAAAAAAAAATCAAAACAAAACAAAAAATTTGAAAACTTTTTTATTCTTTTTTTACAACGGCACTGAATCCATTTATATCTTTATCAAATTTGTAAACTGTTTATTGCCTTATTTTTATCATTTACCAAGATTTTTTCGTTGACAAGATATGAAATGAGTTTTGGAGCTCACTATTTGATCAATTGTCAACTGCATATATATTTCATACCTCAATTAACATCTGTTTGCATTGTTAATATTAAAAACAATAAAATTATGAAGAATTATTTTATTAAACAAGATTTAATATAGAATATATAAATAAAAAAACTATTGCTTGCACTGAGATATTCTCTTCAACTCTTCTGCAACAGCGAAGATCTTTGCCTTGGCGTATTCAAATTTTGGTGCAAGTTTATTAACAGGGATGAAATCCATGCAAAGTTTAGACATAGAATCAATATCATATATTTCACTCGCAAGGATACAAGCTAAAAATAGGATAAATATGGTATCAAATGAGAAAACTGTTTCTGTGTAGTTACAAAGCCTTGAACAGCCTTTCTCAATGCTCGTGATTGCATCATTAACACAATCTAATATGTCAAATGGACAAACAACAAAATACAATTTCTGTAAACTTGAAACAGCATCTTTAAAGTCTTCTATTAATGGGAATACATCTCTTGGATGTAGCTGTTCATCACATTCTGGTTTATAAGGAGGAATCATCTGTAAATCGCAAATTTTTAGTTGTTCAAGAGCTTTTGCTTGCGTGTAATCGATCTTAAATGCTAATGTTTGCGGAAATCTGATAAATATTGTTTCGTAGATGTATCTATAAATGCAAATAAAAAGTATTGAATCCTTAGGTTTTTCAAGTTTTAGATCTTTGATGATCTGGTAAATTGACTCGTATAGTTCCAATGAAAAAACTTGTGCATCTGTTGTTTCGTAAACATTTATGACATTATCTAAAATTTCTTTGTATGGCAAACAAGGAAGAGTGAGTAATGCCATGAGATATGGTTCAGATGGATGTACAGGAGCAAAAATAGTTGAATTGCCTACATCTTTTGCAAAGTTTTTCAAGAGACGCTGAATTTCTTTTTTAATTTGTTGTTTGTTGCGATTATCTACTGGAGATATCGAAAGAGAATTTGTAATTATTTGAATATAAGAAGTAATGCGTTTCTTATTTGGAAAATCGGTTGTATCTTTTTGAAATTCTTCGACATTAACTTGAATAAAGTTATCTTGTGCATAATCCATTAATTTTCCAAGTAAATCAATGAATTTGCTGTATTTCTTCTCATTTTCGTGATATTTTTCCAGTTCCAAATTATACAATTCGTCTTCGAGGAATTTTAATTCATGAAAACGTAGAAGAGCATCGCCTGTTAGCATTAAATGATTTAGATCTGCGTTTAATTTCTTGGGATGGTTGATTAAAAAGACAAAATTGTAAAAATTCGTAAAATATGATGTAGATTGGAAGAAGGCCTCAGTTGAATCTTTCTTATCTTTGGTTATAACAAAATATTGGCGAAATTCTTCAAACCCAACGAAGACTTCTTCAATCTCATTCATCTCACCGTGGATAATATTCAATTTTTCAAAAAAAATTGATCATATCATATATGCGCGATAAGGAGGATATTTTTAAAATATAACAAATTTAAATAAATCATTCAATTTTTGAGAAGGTACGGAATCAATAATAAATATTGGGAATTGATGCGATCAGATCTAAAGTTATGCGATTTTATCATATAATGACGTAAAAATATCAACATTTTTAAATGTTCTAAAAATAACATAATAGAAGCATCAAATAAGTTTTTTGATTATCAATCTGCTGGATGAATCAGGAAAAATTGTTGTATTCATCCACAAAGCTAGTATCTGGCCACATACTCTAAGAAATCAGTGCGGCCAAAAACTTGTGCTCTTTTATCCCTTCAAATTTGTGAGCAATTTAAAAACGTTTCCATGATGAAAGAGCTATAATTGTACGTGCTGATAACATTTTTCAATTTTTATGTTGGGCCACGCATTATTGAAAATTATGCAATATTTCGTTATAACGGAGTTAAAATTCCGAAATTATCATTGTATTGTATATCTCGTAAGCTTCTAGAATATATAATAATTTAAAACTATTCAATTTTACATTTTGATCATTGAAAAAGGATATAAGTATTACAAACTGTTGAGTAGATAATAGTGTTAATGGTGTTCTGTATTTGGATTTTTGAGTACAGAGCAATATCTGAATGTTTCATAGCAATTCAAATTATGGATCGAAAATTATATAATATTATTATGCGATCTTATGTATTTTGGTTTAATTAATGGTTATTCAGGCATATTTATCTAATCATTTATTGAACAAACACTATAGAAGAGATCGATTATGTGAATAGTTCGCAAAAATCCTAATGAACATTGTTATAGCTTGACTGTTTGTTATACATAATTTCTATCCAATTATTATTGAGCATTTCATAATAAATAATTGTGATAAAAGTTCAAACATCGAAACCAATAAATTGTAAATTATTAATAAATTTTATGCTTGTTAATATAGTGTTAATACTTCATGTTTTGAGAGTCAAAATACTTATCATAAAAATATAGTTGAATTGAATTTGATTTGTTTGTAATTTTATTACATAGTATTCATGTGTTAAATGTTAAGAAATTGTGAACTTGAAATTGTGTTCGAGAATGTTCACTGAGTTCTCAAAATTGAAAGGTCCAAGATTGTTTTATCCAATATTCTTCAAGTTTCTGACATATTTCCTACCGATAATTGATAGATATAAAATACAATGAATCGAAGAAGCCAATATATCTAATTTATGTTTTTCTTTCAATCAATTGAATTCATAAATACGCAAAAATTATTAGTGTTTATGTTTAACTTCAATGAAAACTTCTAATTTTACAGCCTTAACTTTTGAAAAAATTCTGAGTGCTTCACAAATCCTCAGAATTAAAAATCTTTTCTCTATTTTTGTTCGTAGTGATATACATCACATCTGATAATGATCATTTACAAAACACATGAAAACCATAAACTCACAAAATTTGAATACATCTATTCTTTATTTTTAATGTTATCCTTCAAGCCAGCTCCAGGCAAAATAGTCAAATCTAAATTCACACCGGAAGAAGACAAGAAACTCATCGAGCTCGTCAACAACTCACCAGACGTAGATTGGAACAAGATCGCAGCCCAATTCACAAATAGGAATCCAAGACAATGCAGAGAGAGATGGCAGAACTATCTTAACCCAGCTCTCTCCAGCAACAACTGGACAGAAGAGGAAGACCAATTAATTCTCGAGCGCTTCAAAGAAATGGGTCCACATTGGAATGCTATCGGCAGAACATTTGTTGGACGTTCCGGAAATGCTGTACGTAATCGTTATTTAGTTTTGATGAGACACCAGCAAAAGAAATTCCGTCTCAACAAGTTTAATGAGTACGTTCCATTACAAGAGAACCCAATGATGCCTATGCCGATTCTCGAGCCAATCCAACAGAACTTCATTGCTCAACAGATGTACGCACAGCAAATGATGTTAGCTTATCAGATGAACGCTCAACAGAATAATTTCCAGTTCCAACAACAACAGATGCAGCAAATGATGCAGCAACCACAACAGATGCAACCAATACAGGAGCCAATCATGCAGCAACAGCCAATTATGCAGCAGGCCCCTCAGATGAACCTCAATGTTGAACATGAGGAAGAACACCCAGTTAAGGATGTATTTGAGGATAATAATATTAGTGAAATCTTCACAGGCGGTGACGATTTTGTGTTCTTGGACTCCATGTTTATTTAATTATCTTACTTTGAGATCGTTATTTTATTAGTAGTTTAGTTTGCAAAAGTTAAAAGCGCTACGATATATGACTCCGAGTGTGATCGGAGATATTCTATAGCGCAAATAATTTGTTTTTTTGACCTTTGTTACTAAACATTTTTTTGATTGTTTTTCAAATTTACTTGACTTTTTCATTATAACTCTCCACAGATATTATACGATGCTATCAGATATATGCCTTCCACGTAGAATGGAACAAAACTCTTTTGATTTTCAAAATAGATTTTTTATTCGTTCACAGTTGACACAAGTGAGCTTATCGATCAACGCTTTTAGCTCCAATCATGCAGTATCTACAAAGCTGTTTACTAAATCCTGCATTATTTCAAATAAGGATTGAAAAAAGTTTTGAATATAAAGATAGAAACATATCGTTTAGCAAAAATATAAGGAGTTTAGCTAATAATTTGAATATTACAGAATAATATCGAATCAATATATCTCATGAAAATTTTGTATGTATATATATCCTAATTGTTTGTTAGAATTGAGTAATATACAGTATTTCTGCAATAATGTTCTCTAATCATTCTTATTCGGTTCAATAATAATAAATATTCCTGAATACGCTGGATTTTTTTGTGTTTTTTCACTTTTATCGATGTATTCTTAGTAATGATCTGAGATGGTTATTATAATTCTGGCAAATACGTTCACATTGTATTGAAGTTGCAGCTTTCCAAAAAGCAGAGGAGTATAAACCCAAATTGTATGGATTCTTTGCAGTATTTATAGTAGTTCCGGTGATATTTCTACCAAAACTAAATGAATTAAATGAATTACCATGAAAATAGCAATCAGAGATGAAAATACTTGTACTTTCAGAAGTAGAATCGGCAGAGAACATATACTTGCATGTGTTTCGCCTAAATATTGAATCAATGACTGTTAATGAAGTAATTTCATCCATAATTCCTATAAGTCCTTTTTCTCCAGAATTATAGTTCTTTATTATATTGCAGTGCTTCATCAAAGTTGATCTGTTTAGTCTGTGCAAGAATAAGTAATATGTTGAATTGCAATAGGCCAAATTGTTGAATTTAGATGTTCCATTCTCTGATCTAACTCTAAATACATATGTACATCTTGAAACACCAACACAATGTGTGATATTCAAATTTTTATGCAAAATATTATTACTTTCAATAAAAAGTACTGAATTTGTACAATGGCAATTCATAAATGTTGAATCAGTAGCTGAGTAATTATTAAAAATGTCACTATTAGGATATATATAATTATAAGCGCCAATATTAGCATTGCAATTCATGGCGCAAATATGATAATGAAAACTATATCCTAAAGATTGTGATATGACTCCTCCATTTATACCTCTACTAGCTTGTGGATTTATATTAATAAATAAACCATTAGTTATCAATACTTTTGAGCTTTGCTGATTTAAATTGAAAATTTGTTGATTTATATCTATTGCAGTGATTGTATCTGCCCAATAATTTCCAGGCTGTGTAACTTGACGAAATTCTGAAGACTTGTTATAAATATCATCCCAATATAAATCGCTCCAATCATGTACTAGCCTTTTTGGACCATTTGTGAAGCCAGGAATGTAAAAGAATGAATGGATTAATTTCATCTTTTGTCTTTTTTATGAATTTTTTGAGAGATACTTTTGAAAAAAAAATTGCATTTCAACATTTTATTTTCATTAAAATATGATTTGACACATTAATTCGGATCTGAATGTAGATAAATTTAGTAGTGTCTCAAATTGGATTTGAATGGCTCTCTTAATTTATTGAGATGAAACAAATCTCCTATCTCATTTATATATTTGAATATACAGTGTTTGAAGTATCTAATTGTTTTCTATAATAAACAACATACCAGTGCAAGTAAAACAGATTTTCTTTTAATGACAATACGAAAAAGGAGATTTAATTTCTATGCATAAACTAATATTTTTGCAGAAATTCAATTTTTTGAACAAATACTCTGAAACTTATTCCAATTTCAAGTGAAACATTAATGTTGTTTAGTTTAGAATGCCAAAATTGTTTGCTTCCAATAGCCACAAACTTTATGAAATTGACAAGAAACTGTCTAAATCTATGGAAGATATTGCAAACTTTTTATCTCTTAATCGAGACATTATCCAAGTTCTTCATGTTGTTTTAATTCTGAATGAACAAACTCACACAACTTGCGTACTATCAATAATGCAGCCAAACATTCATTTTTCGTTCATACAAACTTTCAGTTCAACCTATCGAATCTCTTCTCATACCTTCTAACTTCGAGGCATGCGTATCTGTGACTTCTTCAGTCATTCAGAAGAATGTTTTCCATCAGTTGAATCCATCTCTGACAAACTCCGTCCTCTCAACATCAACAATCTCCTATATCGCGCGAAGAAAGAATTTGAGAAAGTTGACCAAAGTGACATCTAACCTATCGAATACTAGGATTCTTGGTATAATAAAATGTGTCATCTACTTCATTAATAATATCTTTGACTTTGTCAATAATGAAAGCAAAGTTTCGCATTAGTATATAGACAAATGAGATATATTTAAATTCTTTTCATCATTTTAATATTATCAATAGTAATATCATTTGGAATTGATCCATTACTCTGAGCATGACAATTTTCACCATGAATTTAGAATCTGTATTAATCAACACAGTAAAAAGTTTAAATCCTTCTGGACCAGCATACCAAAATACGAAGCAGTATTTAATTTCTAAATCATCTTTGCATCTCATTATTCACTCATCAAGAACTCTCTGAATGTTATTCAAAATATTGCAAAATGAAGTATGTTGCTTTCCAGGGGAATTGTGTTCAATTACAATTTTGACATTGGATGTTGTATTTTCAATCGTGCAAAATGAAACTAATGTGTATAATGTAGTGCCAATTGTGTATCCTGATTTATATAATGCTGTGCATTTACTGAAATTTATTGATCGTAAAGTGATATTCCTGAATATTACGAAAATTGTTATTGTTGAGTTTAAAATTTTCACAAAGGCAAATTGATGAGTCATTGATGAAATTTAGTTTGTTTGCACCATAGCAATTTGAACAGGAGTGATGACCTCCATCTGAGTATAGAGTAGATGTTTGCGAAGATAAAGAACAAATTTTTGTTGGACAAGAAAACTGTTGCTATGAAAACAAACAATGCTGTCTTTATCTGTAAATGTGTTATTATAAAAGATGAGTTCAGAAAGTAATATAGGGTGTCCAAAGGTGCGTTTAGCACAGCGCTCTATATGAGACTATTAAAGGAGATATATGCTGATTATAAATATATAATAAAAAATATGAATATATGTATATGATGAGTATGTTGTATTTTGGCGCCATGCCGGGATATAAAATGAATTTTGAGACAAGAGGCGGTTTCGCGGGAAATTTTGGCGGGATTTTTTTCATTTTTTTAATGAATCATAAAGAAAACATCCTCGCTCTTGCAAAAATGCAAAGACTGAAAAAATCTACGAGACATTGGTAAATGCTTCGGTATGGATGCTCCTAGCTATTCCACTGTAACGTATCATGTTAGGATGTATCACTTCATGAACAAAAAGGCGCCCATCATAAAAATTGACAAAAAATCGCCGGATCAAAGAAAAATCAAAGCAATTCTTCAAGCGCTAGATGAAGACCCAAGAGCATCACTCAGAAGGATAGAGGAGATGACAAAGATACACGTACACAACAGTCAGTTATTATCTGCACAATTATTTGAACTACAAACTAGCGTATACACGTTGGGTTCCGCACAACCTTAATTCAGTTCAAAAAAAATCTAGAGTCCAATCTTCGAAAGAGCTCCTCTCTATATTGGGTGCGTATCAATCCAAGAAGTTTCGCTTTTTAGTAACAGGGGACGAGTCTTGGTTTCAATATGCAACAGAAGCCAAAATCATGTGGATCCCGAAGGATGAAAATCCGCAAACATTCCCGAAGAAAAAAATTGACACACCAATGATGATGTTGTCGGTTTTTTGGGGCGTGAATGACATCATCGCAATTGATATTCTTCAAAAACCTAATACGATGAATGCTCAGTATCTAATTGACAATGTTCTTACTCAAATTATCAATTCTGATGAGTTTGAGAAATCCAAACAACAAAAACAAAAGTTTGCAATTCATTTTGATAATTCAAGAGTTCACAAAAGTCATAAGGTAATGAATTACTTGGTGGAAAACAATGTCAAAGTTGTTCCAAACCCAATTTATTCACCTGATATTGCACCCTCTGACTTTTATTTATTCGGCACGCTAAAAAAGAGAGTTGAAGGACGCGAATTCGCGAGTCCAGATGATCTTGAAAATTTTGTAAGAGAGCAATTTGAGCAATTTTCTCATGATGATTTAAAGCGTGTCTTTCAAGCCTGGATCGATCGCTGCGAACGCGTGATTGAATCCAATGGTGATTATATTTAAATAAACTTTATATATATGTAACTTGTTTATTTCTATTCGCAGTATTCAGGTTTGTGCTAAACACACCTTTGGACACCCTATATTCCATAACTCAAAGGATAAATCAGTGAATAAACGATGTAACTGCTGATATCTTTACAAAATTAAATATAAAATTCTCAATCAAATGAATGAAATCTAAACAACTTGAGAATTATTTCGGCAAAATTCACCGATTCCTACTCTGTGAAACTAAATAACCACAAACTTTTATGAAATATACCAGAAATATAGGAAAATTTCGTCCATCTAAGAAATAGACCCAATGAAAGTAATTATGTGATCATGTATATTATAGATTATTTAATATAGTTTATAGTTATGATTGTTTATTAGGAGATGATATAGGAACTATTAAAGATCGAATAAATTTAATATAATCTTGTTCAAATGTGTCATCTTCTTCTTTTATTATTTTATTTTCATAATTATTAACCATAGGAATTAAAGCTTCGCATTTAGATGTAGATAAATGAGATAAATTTAAATATTTTTCTTCATATTTGATATTTTCAGTAATGATATCATTTGGAATAGATGGAGTACTCTGAACATAACAATTTTTAACTGTAAACGATGATCCACTATTGTGAAAAAGTTTAAATCCTGATGGACCTTCATTTCCAAATATAGAACAGTTTTCAATTGTTATAACTATATTACAATAAATCATTCCAAATTCTGTTGTACTCTGTTTGTTATTCAAAATGTTGCAAAAAGAAACAAAATTTGTTTTAGAATTATAATGACCTAATACTTGATCATAAGGTTTGCATGTTGTATTTTCAATTGTACAAAATGAAACTGATGCTTCTGTTGATGGAAAAAGTCCGTATCCTGAATTATATGATGCTGTACATTGACTGATATTTGTTGATCGAATAGAAATATTTCCATTGAATGCAGATATTGTTTTCTGTGATATTTCGTTTCCACAAAGACAAATTGTTGAATCATAGACAAAATTTAGTTTGTTTGAATCTTGACAATCTGAAAAGGAGTGGTGACCTCCTTGGTAATAAGTGTAAGTTGTTTGTGAAGATAAAGAACAAATTTTGTGTTGAACAAAAGAACTTTTGCAGCTAAAATAAACACTGCCGCCTTTTTCAGTATTTGTGTTGTTATTAAAGTTGCATTCCGAATGTAATACTTTGATGTCGTTAATAGAATATTTGATTGCGCCGTTGTTGAAGTCAAAGAAGAAACTGAGTAAAACGAAGCATTCATTTTGTGTCGCATTTGGTTTGCAGTTGTTGCATGTGGTTGGATTTGATTGATTGTCTGTTCCATAAAAATGTTGCCATGGAGCGAATGAAACACTCGAGATAAAAAATCTGTAAACTATTCAATTTAAAATCTTAGATTTCGGTTTAAAAAATCATAGGATTTTAATTAGAATGGACAATTAAGCAATCTGTATGACATCCACTATCTACCAAATCAATAGGATCATGCCTTTAATCATTTATGTTTGTTAATCCTAAACAATGAAGATTCAATCTCGTCTAAAATTGGATATTTGCAGCAAGAACAATTACTAAAACAGCATAAAAAGTAAATATAATATTCATACGTTGATTATGGCATACCAATTTCAATTTTCTCTCAATTAAGTGCAAATTTTTTAAAAGGCATATATTGAAATATTGTTAGTTCGTATAAAATTTATAAAAAGTTCATTTTTTAAAATTAATTCAACATAATCAAAAAATATAATAAAAGTTATTTTCTTGAATTTGCCTTCCTGTACTTATAAAGTGTCTGTTCGGACTCCTGAAGCTTAGTTCTGCTGTCGTTGACAACCTGTTGAGCGTTAAGTTTCTGAACAACTTTGTTTCCTCCTTTCTTAACTTTTCCTTTCTCGCTCTCTGAAACTCGCGCTGCAACACGGAGTTCTGATCGACGGACAATCTGGTTGGAGCAGAATCTGACTGTTTTGACGTGCATATTCATGATTCCCTCTGGATCGCCGCCTTTGACGAGAACTTGTGCGACCAATTGTGCAACAGATCCCTTCACAATCCTTGCGGCTGCAATTACTTTGAATTCGGGGTCTTCCCCGGCTGTTCCTTTAATTAACATTTCGGCAGCAGTCATAATCAAACCGGCAGCCTCTGTAAGGTCTTGCGCTGAGTTAATCATCATCCGTTCGTTGTCAATGTGGCCGAATGATACGATTAAGTTTGCTGTGATCTGCATGGCGCGTTTGAGCATGTCTCCTGCGTTCTTGAGAATAGCCCTCGCCTGTGCGATGATGAATTTGATGAAAGAGTCGAGATCAAGCAATTCTGCAATATCTTGTTGGTTGTTTGAGTCAATTTCAGTCTTAATTGCTGATTCGTTTTCATCTTCATCTTCTTCGTCTTGAAGAAGTGATGCATCGATGATTAAATCGTCGACTTGGCCAAATTGTGAACCGAATTCACTTAATTTGGCTGACATCTCTTCAATTGCAAGTGCTGTTGCCTGGAGTTCTGCTGTGACTGCATCGCTTGGCTCGATTTCGACTTCTTCCTCCTTTTGTGCCGTAATCTCTGCTGATTTGACTGCTTTGTCTGCAGAAACCTTGAAATTCTGCGATGCCTGGTTAACAGCAGCGATCGACTCTGTAATTTGGGACTGAGCAGTTGGGTCTAAAAGTAATTTCGCTTTAACAGAATTTTGTAATGATGTAAATGCTGAAGCGAATTCGTGCATAATTGTCTGCTCTTCAACTTGGCAACGAGGATCTGTGGTGGAAAATGTCATAGTTCCCATAGATGTGGCAAATTTTTCGGCTTCCTCTCTCAATTTAAGAGTCAATTCAACCAGTTCGGAATTGTTTTGTGAGTTGTAGATATCTGAGAAGTTATCCATCTTCTTTTGGAGTTCTTCGAGTGAATCGCAGAGCTGCTTGAAGGATTCATGTGGAGAAGGAGCTTCTGTTGGCATTGGAGGGAGGTTGAACTCGTCTGGGATTTTGGAGGCTGAATCTGGGTCTGGATAAATAATAATGTGGTCAACCAAGGAATGAGCGGCCTCGATCAACTTAGGAACGATTGCTGTTGATTCGTTGATATCTTTCTTAGTTTGTTTCTCATTGTCTTTCAGATGTTCAATTGCTGAGTTGATTTTACTTTCGTACTCTTCGTAGATGGTCTTAAACCATGATTTCTGAGGTTCGACTGAGTTTTCGTACAAATCATCTGCACTTTGCTTCAATTCATCTCTTGCTTCTGTTAATGCGTTGATCAAACCTTCTCTTTCTGGGTCTAACATCTCTGAAAGAGGGCAGGAATTGATTCTTGAGACAACACGAGATGCTTGAACTTCAATTTTGGATAATTGATGGAAGAAATCGTTCTTTTTCTCGTCTAATCCTGTTGCTGGTACTGGTGGAAGTGGTCTTTCAACGTTGTTGATGAATGTATCGATCTTCTTTGCCATTGTTCTGGCCAATCTTCTGACTTCGAGAACTGTCTCTGGAGAATTGTCATTCTGAAGGTTCCTTGCGAGTTCTTCGAACTTGGAGAATGCTGAGAAGACGTCGTTTGCGTTGGAAGCGAATCCCTGGATCTGATTTGTTTTTTCAAGACCGTTCTTCTCCATAGATCTTAGAGCTACCGTAGCTGATTCGCTCGCTATTGTCGACATCTTCATGATCGCGTGGCTGACAACGTCCGGAGGAACGTCATTTTGTCTGGCAGCGCGAACGACGATGTTCGAGTACTCTCTGAACATCTCGGCCCTGTTGTAGATTTCGTCACAGAGCTCGTCCTGGTCTTCGATTTTCATAACATCTTCGTATCTGTCCGGCCGCATCTTCTTGATTTGTCGAATAACTTCATCTACTAAGTCTTGGACGTCTACTTCTCCGTTCAAAAGCTTCTCGATCGTCTTGTCAATAAGCTCCTGGAATTTCTCCAACATCTCTTTATCGTTGAAAAATCCATATGTCAACAAATTTTTCAGAGCTTTTGCTACTTCAAGTGGAGAAGCTTTTCCATCTCTCAACTCTGACAACTTTTCGGCCATTGTACTGAGGATTGTTTCGAGCATTTCCTCTTTTTCTTCAGGAGTTCCCGAAATAAAGCGTTTGTAGTTGGACATTTGATCAAGGATGAGATCTATCTCGTTCAGGGCCTTCTCTGACTTAGTATCAATGTATTCTTTGATTTTATTTATGAGATCATTATTTAATTTCTCCATAAATTCAAGTTCTTCGCCTGACATGTCGCCCATTGATCTTGTAGATGCTACAGAGGCCCTCATGAGAGCTTCAATTACCTCATTATTGTAAGCTTCGTCGAGAGACCTCATATTTATCAGTTTGGCGATGTTTTTCTCTGCATCGTATATAGTTCCGCAGTCAATCTCGTTATTACAGGCCATTTCGAACCATTTCGTAAGGAATTTGAGTGCATCTTCTGATTTTGCGTCCTTGAAGAGGTCCATGAGGTTCGTAGCTGTGATTCTGAGGGCAGATGTTGGAAGGGAAGCGATTGCCGATTCGAGTTTCCTGAATTGGCGAAGTTCCGCTGGAATATCTACCTGAAGGAATGGTTGTGGTAAGCTATCGATGGCGGATTGGAACTTTGTCATCATTTGTGATAAGTTTGAAACGTAGTTCGATAGGAGAGATCTGTTGGATGCGTCTTGATTTGTAATAAGAGGCAAAATTGTGTTCAAAGATGCATTAATAGCCTGTGGGAACTGCTTCAAATCCTGCATTGACTCCGGAGCGTTCTCCAAAGAGCCAGATAACCTCGTAATTGCAGAATAAAAATGAGAAAATTTGTAAGCAAATGAATCGTCGTAATGTTGCTGAGCTTCTTGGATTGTTGGAAGGCAGCTGAATGATAAACTGCCAACATTTGAAACGAAATCGTCGGTTTCTCCGAAATTATTAACTTTTTTGAGCTTTTCGAAGGTATCTCCGATCTCATCGAAGTATGCATTCATTAATGACTTCGTAAGGCCACCGATTCCATCTTCTTCTTTGTCAAGAAACTCTTTTAATTTATGAACTAAATTAATGTACTCAGAAGTGTTCTGATTTGTTGACAAATATGTTGGTGTGTTAGCCATCGTTGATTCGTACTTGTCTAATTCGCTCTTGAACGTTTCGTCGACTTGAATTTGTCCATTTGACACTTGGATGGCCTTAACTCCCATTTCTGCTACCATCTGTGTGCTGATTGAAAGCATACTAACGAGATGGTCATATAACGATGAGACTTGCTTGGCAGATTTTTTGATTTCAGACGATAAAGTTTGGAAAACTGCGGCGTCTTGCGGTTCTGCCTGCTTTATTATATCATTGAGTGAATATGGGAGATAGTTCGTGGCAGAAAACAACTTTTGTACGTCTGTAATGAAAGTTTCGGAATTTGGATCGATTTGATTCAAATTATCAATGGTAGAAGTATGGTAATTAACTTGACTGAGGCTGTTTTCGCTGTAGCAATCGATCTTTTTCGTGTAAGTTGCTGTTACATTCGTAGAATAACCTTTGACTAAACTTAACTGAGCGTTGAGTAGCTTTCCGATGGCTTCTTGAAGCGCTTTATCAATGATATTGGAATTTGCTTGGGAATAAAGTGATGTTGAGATGCAACGAGCAAGAGAAAAGGCACAATCCGTAATTTCTTGTTGGTCTTGAGAAATCGTAAGAATGGCCTTGACGGATTGTATCATGGTATTCGCTTCTGTGGAGTTATAAACGTAATCTGTGGAGGCAATCTCTGAAAAAACTGTTAAAAGAGAATTAACAATTTCCTTTGTTTGTTTGATCGGGGCGTTGGAGAAGCAGGCATCGGTTAGCTTTGAAATCTCTTTCGAAACTAACTCGGCGACTGGTTTTCCTACTTTACTGAATATGAGGTTCATGTACTGGATTATATGCTTAGCAAAAGCAGTGGTAAGTAAAGTATCCTTAACAGAACTTTGTGCGAAGGAGTAAATCGCAAACAAAGAAGGAATTGTCGTTGTTATTGTTTTCAAATTCGGAAACACTGCTTCAATGTTAGTCGAAGCAGCTGTACGTAATTGGTTCGAAACGTTTGTTAATAGATCGACCCAGCTCTTGAAGTTTGTGATCTGAGATAACGAATTCACTGCATCGTAGGCAGATAAAAAGCTGAGATCTATGACGAGGAGCTCAGCAAGTTTGTTGCAGCAGACGCAATAATGGGCAAACTCCTTGTCTTCGAAATTAATTTCATTTTCTTTTTCTTTGTTGAGTTCAAAACATTTCGGGGCAAGAGCAAGGACTTTATCAAGGGTCTCGACAACTAGAGACAGGGACTGCTGAAGCGCAGGAACGTAAGAAGCCATAGATGACGCTTGATTTGAAGTTAACATAGGGATATATTGGTTGAATTGGCCTAAATGGTTGAAAGCTTCGATAAACAGTTCTGAATATTGTAATTCAGGAGGGACAACTTTATCGAGCTCTTCACCAGAAATCTTTAAAATTTCGTTTAGAGAAGTAATCTTCTTGTAATCAGTGGAAAGAGAGAAAATAGGTCCATATGAGATGGATGGAAGTTGTTCATTCATGGTTTTCAATATAGGTTTGTATGCATTTATGATATTATTGATTTTTATGACGTGATAGCCAATATTTGATAAGCATTCTTTTATTTTATCCTCGGGGACAATCTCTTGAAGTGGCTGGATTTGATATCGTACTCCGGTGGTTAAAAGCATTTAAGATTTATCACAATAATAAAAATTGAATGACTTCATCCGTCACCTTTCGATTCTTTCTATTCCAACAAATTTATCAGAAAACTTATCATATTCTAATAAACAGAAATTCATCAAAAGTAACAGCTCTCAATTTTTTGACATTTGTAAATTCTAAATTGAATGAGAAAAATGAAATAATACTAAGCATAATACAATATTCTAGATTTAATTATAATTAGGAAAAAGTTAGTTTTGAGAGTACTTTTCATAGGCATATAGAATGAAATCTTCTGAAAAATAATATCACATAAACTCATATTATTTTCTAATATATAACTATTTTATATAAAAATCAAATTCAATGATCTTAAAAGCGAAGGATAAACCTCAAAATTTACGAATATAATGAGTGGGAATATAATGCTTATCTATCATAAAACCATATGAAATATCAATTTTTGCTTTACGCCTAATTTTTGACGACAATTAGCAAAAAATGTTAAATGTTAACACTCAGTCCATTTGAATATGAAAAATAAAATTGACTTTGATTAAATGTTTTTATTTATCATGCAATTCTTCTTGCGACCAAAGATTTGAATAAAAGTTCAAAAAATAAGATAGCTTAAAAAATAATATACGGTAGTGTTTACTAATAGATGAATAGTATATAAATTCTATTAAAATGGATTTGATCCAAAAAAATATATAAAATTTGATCATAAATAAAATCGTTTTAAATTACTTCTTCATTTAAATTATAACAATTATTTTTGGTTTTATATTTTTTTGGATCAAATCCATTTTAATAGAATTTATATACTATTCATCTATTAGTAAACACTACGTATATTATTTTTTAAGCTATCTTATTTTTTGGAATTTTATTCAAATCTTTGGTCGCAAGAAGAATTGCATGATAAATAAAAACATTTAATCAAAGTCAATTTTATTTTTCATATTCAAATGGACTGAGTGTTAACATTTAACATTTTTTGCTAATTGTCGTCAAAAATTAGGCGTAAAGCAAAAATTGATATTTCATATGGTTTTATGATAGATAAGCATTATATTCCCACTCATTATATTCGTAAATTTTGAGGTTTATCCTTCGCTTTTAAGATCATTGAATTTGATTTTTATATAAAATAGTTATATATTAGAAAATAATATGAGTTTATGTGATATTATTTTTCAGAAGATTTTGTGTTCTTCTTCAAAATTTTATTTTTTTTATTAAAAAGAATCTTTACAAAATATACATTTACTTTAATTAATATTTAAAAACGTGCTCTATCAAAAGTTCCAAAAATTCAATATTTTAGCTTTTCTGAGGTGTTACTTTTGATGAATTTCTGTTTACAACAGAAAACTTATCATATTCAATGATGTGATTTACAAGATAAAAAATATAAAAAATTAATTCACAGCTAAACAAAATCGAAAGGTTTTGCAAATCTTTTTTGTATTTCAGTTTCTCCCCCTAAAAAAATGGACAACATTGAAGAAACTAAGGAAGAAATAATAAATAATGAAGAAGAAGATCAGGAATATGAAGTAGAACAAATCATATCGCATACTTTTGAAAAAAACCATCTGTTTTACTTAGTAAAATGGGCAAATTATGATCATTCAGAAGATTCTTGGGAACCAGAAGAAGGACTATACAACTCTATGGATAAAGTAACTGAATACTGGGAAACTGTTGATGAAGACCTCAAAGAAAAGATATTTGGTACGCAAAATACACAAAAAGCATCTAAACCGCCACCTAAACTGAATAAAAATAAAAGATTCGAGCGCAAAAACAAATCAAAGCCTTCACACACCAAAAAATCCTATGATTTTACATTTGATTATGTATATACTGATAATTACGTTCAACAAGAACCAAAAGAACCTGAAGAACAACCTCGTGTGAAAGAGAGCAAAATAAAAGCGGCTCTTTCACAAGAAAAATATTTAAAGCATGCCGAAACGAAATCTACACCTGATGCTCCTCACGTATTAGGAGCATACAAAATAGATGAAGATATATACTTTGCATGCGAACTTGATGGCAAAAATGTTTCAATTTCAAATGAAGATATGAAATTATATTATACAGATGCATTACTTCAATTTTACGAAGAGAATCTTACTATTTCAAAGAATTTTGATTTCCATGTCCATAAGTAATGAAGTTTGTTTTTGCCATTTTAGACCATTTAATTTTTGGCGCTATCAATTGAATAATTTGGCGCCAAAAACGAAAATCATTATTTTAGAATGTCTTCCAAGAAGCCAGCCTCTAAAACACCAACTGAGAAGAAGCCAGCCGTCGAGGGCGTCGATGCTGCCAACGCTGCCAAGCAAGACAAGAAGCTCCGCCACAAGAAGCGTGCAGAAACATTCTCATCCTACATCTTCAAGGTTCTTAAGCAGGTCCACCCAGATATCGGTATCTCCAACAAGGCTATGATGGTCATGAACTCTTTCGTTACAGATATCTTCGAAAGAATCGCTCAGGAAGGTGCACGCCTTGTCGATATGAACGAACGTAACACACTTGGTTCTCGCGAAGTTCAGACAGCCGTTCGTCTTGTTCTTCCAGGCGATCTTGCTAAACACGCCGTCTCTGAAGGTGGCAAGGCTGTCGCTAAGTTCAACGCTGAGTAAACTTTATTACTGTATCTCCCTCTTTAATTGCCTTACTTTTTATTTAAGTTATCAGCATTACTTTCATATGAATGATTATATTTTAAGTAGCAAAATCTTCAAGGAATCACCTTAAAAGGTGTTCTGTAATAAACAGAAATTCATCAAAAGTGACAGCTCTCAATTTTTTGACATTTGTAAATTCTAAATTGAATGAGAAAAATGAAATAATACTAAGCATAATACAATATTCTAGATTTAATTATAATTAGGAAAAAGTTAGTTTTGAGAGTACTTTTCATAGGCATATAGAATGAAATCTTCTGAAAAAGAATATCACATAAACTCATATTATTTTCTAATATATAACTATTTTATATAAAAATCAAATTCAATGATCTTAAAAGCGAAGGATAAACCTCAAAATTTACGAATATAATGAGTGGGAATATTTCATATGGTTTTATGATAGATAAGCATTATATTCCCACTCATTATATTCGTAAATTTTGAGGTTTATCCTTCGCTTTTAAGATCATTGAATTTGATTTTTATATAAAATAGTTATATATTAGAAAATAATATGAGTTTATGTGATATTATTTTTCAGAAGATTTTGTGTTCTTCTTCAAAATTTTATTTTTTTTATTAAAAAGAATCTTTACAAAATATACATTTACTTAAATTAATATTTAAAAACGTGCTCTATCAAAAGTTCCAAAAATTCAATATTTTAGCTTTTCTGAGGTGTCACTTTTGATGAATTTCTGTTTACAACAGTTCAACTAACCTTTTCAAAAATGCATAAATTATCGCATAGAAAGAAGAATTTGAACATTTGGGATTTTAAATTGAATAGTTTACAGATTTTTTATCTCGAGTGTTTCATTCGCTCCATGGCAACATTTTTATGGAACAGATAATCAATCAAATCCAACCACATGCAACAACTGCAAACCAAATGCTACCCAAAATGAATGCTTCGTTTTACTCAGTTTCTTCTTTGACTTCAACAACGGCGCAATCAAATATTCTATTAACGACATCAAAGTATTACATTCGGAATGCAACTTTAATAACAACACAAATACTGAAAAAGGCGGCAGTGTTTATTTTAGCTGCAAAAGTTCTTTTGTTCAACACAAAATTTGTTCTTTATCTTCACAAACAACTTACACTTATTACCAAGGAGGTCACCACTCCTTTTCAGATTGCAAAGATTCAAACAAACTAAATTTTGTCTATGATTCAACAATTTGTCTTTGTGGAAACGAAATATCACAGAAAACAATATCTGCATTCAATGGAAATATTTCTATTCGATCAACAAATATCAGTCAATGTACAGCATCAGTTAATTCAGGATACGGACTTTTTCCATCAACAGAAGCATCAGTTTCATTTTGTACAATTGAAAATACAACATGCAAACCTTATGATCAAGTATTAGGTCATTATAATTCTAAAACAAATTTTGTTTCTTTTTGTAACATTTTGAAAAACAAACATAGTACAACAGATTTTGGAATAATTCGTTGTGATGGAATTATAACAATTGAAAACTGTTCTATATTTGGAAATGAAGGTCCATCAGGATTTCCACTTTTTTACAATAGTGGATCATCGTTTACAGTTAAAAATTGTTATGTTCAGAGTACTCCATCTATTCCAAATGATATCATTACTGAAAATATCAAATATGAAGAAAAATATTTAAATTTATCTCATTTATCTACATCTAATTGCGAAGCTTTAATTCCTACGGTTAATAATGGTGAAAATAAAATAATAAAAGAAGAAGATGACACATTTGAACAAGATTATATTAAATTTATTCGATCTTTAATAGTTCCTATATCATCTCCTAATAAACAATCATAATTATAAACTATAAGTATTAAAAAAATGATAATTTTTTTTTTTTTTTTTGTATTAATATTATCTCAAAATTTAATTTACGTGATATTACATGAACTAGAGCACATAGAAATCATCTGGCACCTTCTCACCCTTCTTCTGAAGTTCGTCGATGATCTTTGAACGTAGTTCGTTATAGTTTGAGTTAACGACATTTGTTGGGACCTTTCCTTCAGCTAAGTTCTTCTGGGCGAGTTCGTACACTTTCTTGATTGTATACTTAAGGTTATCCACGCTAAAGTGACCGAATTGGCGCTTCTGAGCTGCCTGGAACGACTTGTTGGACGTCTGAGGAGCAGCTAGTCCTGGTCCGAAGTCTAACTTGTAACCAGCGAGCTGGGACTCCTGTTTGGCCGGAGTAGCGATCATTGTTCCGTCGTTATTCTGAGAGGAGATGAATGTTCCTCCGTTGTAAGTATCATCTGAAATAAATGTGCCCTGTGGGATGAATGTTCCGTCATTGCCGGAGAAGAGGACTGTGGCGCATGCGTTGTCATCAGCCAAGTAGTCGCCATCATCGTCTTCCTCTTCCTCTTCGTAGACTTCCTCTTCCTCATAGGAGTACTCGTTCTCCTGCTCGGCCTTCAGTTTGTCCTTTGCCTGGCGATAGGCAACGTAGAGGTCCTGGATGATTTCCTTGGACTTCTGGTCTGAGATCTGTGCAAGGAATGGATCGTTGATGAGCTCTGTAATCGGTGGTCTGAGGGCGGGATCCTTGATAAGGCATCTCTTGACGAATGCCTTGAAGAGAGGTGAAAAGTTAGCTGGGGCTTCTGGTGGTGGAAGAAGTGGGATCTGAGTAATAACATATGTTGGGTTGTACTGTGTTAATGGAGGGCTACCGACAACGATTTCGATTGCAGTGATGCCAATGGACCAAATATCGACCTTGGTATCATAGCCGTTCTGTGACATAATTTCTGGAGCCATCCAATATGGAGAACCAACAATTGTACCGGTTTTCATACGGTAATCATCGAGCTGTGCAGATACACCGAAGTCGCAAAGCTTGACAATACCCTCTGATGTAATAAGTAAGTTTCCTGCTTTGATATCACGGTGGATACGTCTTAATCCGTGGACATAAGCAATTGAGTCAACAACACTCTTGAGAACAGCAGCGGCTTCAAGCTCTGTTAATGGTCTCTTGAGAAGTGACATGGTATCGGAAATAGAACCACCGTCGCAATATTCCATTTCTAAGTAAAGTTTCTCATCTTCGAAAAACCAATTATAGTAATTAACAACTGTATCGTGGTGTAAATCAATGACGTTGTTGATTTCGGCCATTTGGGTCATCCATTCGTCAGCATTTTGGACTTCATTGGATTTGAGAGCGACAACTCTGCCTGTTTTATTATTAATCGCCTTGTAAACGACACCATAAGAGCCTTTACCTATTTTTTCAAGGATCTGATAGTCGTAGACAGATCCTTTTCCGCCTTCTATTGACGTCGCCATATACTGTCAAGCCGTTTTCCATGCGGTTTGTATTCAATTTTTTTCGAATACAACCAATCGAAGGAAAAATATGGCCTGAATGAGATGATATGTTGGTGGAAATGCGATGCAGGCATTATACTTGTTGCCTTTTCGCTAAAATCATATCTTCAATATCAATTTCGCTAATTTCCTTACTATGGTGTTTTCAAAAAGCAATGAACGATTATTTCACCCTCAATTATGTAAAGTTTTTCAATTGATGTCATAATAAATCTGATTGATAAGAACCTCTTCTAAATCTTGGGATTATTTTAAAGTATTTCTAATTTCACTTCACCAAATTTGACTAACTTAGGAAAAAATCGTTTTAGCATTAATATTTCAACTTTGCGCCTGTTTTTAATCGCACATAGATCAGTCTCGAAGCCGATGATTCAATTTTGGGGATCAGATTTTTCAAAAACATGTTTTTAGCCTTGAAATCAGATGATTTATTTTTGTTTTTGATTTCAGCAATTCCTGTAGAATATTTTAAATATATGTATGTTTCACATAATGATAGGCGAAATAACACTGACTCAATCTTGAAATTCAAGATTTCTAACGTTATTTACCTCTACTATTTCGTTTGCTGAAAAACGTCATGTTGAGCCGTTATTTATAGAATTTCGGTACTAAATTTAATAATAATTTTATTATTAATTATTGAGAAAATTATTGGTTGCACTGGGCTAATTTCTTAAAGTGTTCAATGCCTTACAAGATGTGGTGGTTTGAAATAAGCACTTATTCTTGAATTAAATAACCGTTTTTACTAATTTCTAAATATTGAGGATCAAATCATGCCAAAGCATGTTCGTATTGTGTAATGATGGGTTGGCCATTGCAACTTTAACTTCCTTTTGCATTATATATCAAAAATACTACTGAATATGAATACATTGAATAAAACTTGAAATTATAATGATGTTAACGCATTCCTATATTTATATCAATAATTATGCTATCCAGTTGGCATTAGATACATCATTCAATTTGATACATGAGTTTTATAGTTGAATATGATAAGCGATAACAGAATATGCGATCTCATATGATATATACATCGCTCAATATCATGTCAAATATGGTATGACGATTTTTCACATTGTCTCATCTATATAATCAAAAACATTGACATACTTATATAAAAGTATAATTGCATTTGAAATTGATCATTCCTATTGAATAGAATGGAAAAGTAAGTTAAACAAGGTGCCTCGCAACAATATAAGAACTATAAAACCAGTTTCTGGTAATGAATGAATCAGGGATACTCTTATGTTAATCTTTCTTTTTTCTTCAACGCCAACATATGAAAATGTATCATCACTTTAATTTTATGCCAACAGAATGCAAGAGGATTGATTATATTATGCTACTTGTTGAATTGCATATCTTCATTAGTCCAATATTACTATTTTCAAGAAAAATTGTCAAATTTATTTGAATAACTTTGTTTAAGATAAAAATGAATCGAGTTCCTTTCACATATATCTGATGAGTATTATAATTATTACATATGGATGATGAAAAATAATTGAATGGTGTACGTTTAAAAAATAATCGTTCAAATGGAAGCAAAATTAAGATATAGAAGTCAACTGAGTTCTAATGGTGCATCTGCATGTTTATATCAAGAAAAGAAGGTAGCAAAGAAACCAAAGGCTAAAGTTACTCCACAGCCAAAGAAAATTGAAGAACCCAAAGAGGAGGAACCTCCAAAGCCTTCGCCAAAACCAAAACCTAAACCAAGAATTGACTTTATTCAGCGTAATATTGACGAAGCGGCCGAAACAAAATCTCGCGCACATGTTCCGAAACCAAAAGGTAAAGTCATTGAACCTGATCATCTTCCAGGCGAAATTCCATCTTATATGGATCAAGTAAGAGAGGAATTACACAGTGAATCTCATCAATCAGCAACAATTAAATGTCCTAAGGGAACTCGTGTCATGACTGAAGAAGAAAAAGCAATTGCAATCGAGAACTTGAAGGCTGAAAAGCAAGAAATTGAAACAAGATTAGGAAAAGCTCCATTGCATATTGAAAGTCCACAATTATTAAGAAATAAGAAATTACTCGAACAACAACTTGTTGAAATCGATCAATCTCTTGCTCAATTATCAAAGAAATACGTTTTTGTTCCTATTTAATATATGTTCTGTTATTTCGATGTTAATTTAAATTTGAATTTTCAATCATTTATAGCGTATACTAACTAGCTACATTCGATACTAATTTTGAATCTATACATGAAGAAATCATACTTTTTTTAATTATTTGCGAATGTCATATTATGAATCATGATATTCTTTTGGTTATCGTGCCTAAATCACCTCATAGTGCATTTCTATACAGGAAACGCATTTGTTTCCTATTGAAATCAAAATATAAAATTTTAATTTTCTGTTTTGTAAACGAAATCAGTTATCATTGTTTTAAGGAGTCAAAGGAAGATAGTTGTGATATAGTTTCAAACAATAAAATGTTAATTTTTACAAAAATATTTTTTATTCAATATTTAAAAAAATAACAAGAATAAAAAACGAGATAATCCATATAAACAAATAAATAACAAAAATTCTCTATAATTTTTTTTTGAAAGAAATACATGGTAAATATAAGTTTTTGTGTCTATTCAAAGATGTTTTTGATAAAATTTGAGTCGAAACCGATCTGATTCAAAGTCATTGTGAGCATCTTGCTTGCTGGATCCGATTTTGACAATCTAACACCTTGGTTATACATGAATCTTGTTAAAAACCTATTTCTGTCTGTAATTGCCAACTTTAAGTGCTCTTCTTCAAATTCCATGCCATTTGCAACGAGTCTTGAGAAGAAATAGAGAGAATCTGGTGTCTGGAAGATCTTGGTTATCTGGTTGAGGTTTTTAAGCTTGGCTCCAGCGTCAACTAAGAAACATGCGAAAATATAATTTGATCTGTCGAAAGCCAAGTAAATTAGAGATTCGTTTACCTCGGCACCATGATCTACAAGCATGTGAAAGACTTCTCGTGTTGGAGTATTCTTCTTTTGAAGCATAAATTCGAAAACTCCTAATAATTCATCGGATTTCTTCATCACAGCCTTTCTTGATGGATCAAAACCATTCTCCATGATATATTCTAATATGTTTGGCTTCAAATATTGCGCTACATCCCCAACAACTTCAAATGTTTCATCTGAATCGAAAGAAACTCCTTTTTCATGGGCCATCTTAAGGAGATCCAGTGATCCAACAAATAACAAAGCATAAATAATGTCTTCTCTTGTCTCTATTTTGTCTAATCGCTTCAATAATGTTTTTAAAAAGTATAAAGACAATTCTGGGGCCAATCTATCGCGGAAAGAAAAAAACACGGAAGGGAAACTGTTTCCTCTAAAAAATGGACGAGTTTGTGGAGGGTTTGAAGGAATTATTGGTGGATCAAAGGTCAGAAAATAGTCGAAATAGCGTTTGGAGTAGTTATAAACGCATCTTGCAAGTAGATCGTATTTGACAATGAGTTCTTTCGTTGGTTTTGCGTATTTTTCGACTAAATGGAATAATTCTTCGGAATTTATGGGAATTGCAAGTCCTAAATTACAGCAGCGCTCTGAAATAAATTGTGCTCCGTGTTGAAGTAGTTTTTCTATTGTAATTAATAAATAATTTTTTTCATCTTCTTCAACCGTTCGTGGGGGAGCTCCAATAGTAGACGGATAATATCTAGCGAGTGCTTTTGTGCAGCTGTATAATGGAAGCATTGGGCACGTGCTTTCCTCTACCTGATTTGAGTCTAATTTCACGTTGTTTAAGTCAATGTCAAGTGATAAAATCTTATCGAGAAGAGAATCCTTATGCTTATTGATTGCTGCGGAAATTATGTTCTCCACGAGAAGATTATTTGGACATATCGCGGCACCTTTTGCAAAACAGATTTCTATCATTTCCAGGTTATGTGTCTTAATTGCAAAATATCCTGCTGCTGATTGGCCGTTCTGATCTGGCTTGTCTCCGCCATTTTCCAACATAAAATTGAACATCATCATAGAAGCTTCTTTTAAGTTGGTCGGCTTCAATTTCGGAATTTCTTGGTTGTATTTTATACTACTGAAATCGTATTTGTACTCGTCAATAAAGAATTGTAGAATCTGCTTCATTCCAAGGGCAAAAGCGTAATCTATGCACACTCCAAACTTCGTGGAGCCTGCCTGATCTGTAAGTTGGGTGAATAAATACATCTTTTCTATTGTATTTGCAAATCTGAAAAAGTCTGGAATACTGAACGATCCCATTAGGTTGAAACCTATTGAACTCATATATTTGAGCATATCGCATGAACAATTAATAATGCAATCTGATATTATTTCTGGAGAAAAATCTGATGTCGTAAAAAAACCTTTTTCGAAGAAAAAACGGAAGATATCTGTATAGTTATTGCAGCAGGCAATTAAATAGAGTGGATTATCAGGGTTGTTCGTTGGATATTGAGCTCCATGCTTGATTAAATACTTCACAACGGGATAACGACCCTTCAATACCGCTGCCATTAAGGGGGTAACACCGTCTGAAGTCTTAATGTCCAAATCTACGCCAAGGTTATAGAAATATTTCACGATATCAAGGTGTCCGCCACCGGCTGATTCGACCAAAGGGGTATATTTCCTCTTTAGGTATTTGTAGATCGCGTTTTTGTTGACTAAAAGCTTGACAACGGAAAGATACCCGTTTTGTGCTGCTAAAACTATGGATGAATAGCCTTCCAGGGACGTTTTATTAACGTCTACGTTCTTGTCAATGAGAAACTCAACGATGTTCAAATGCCCGCCCATGCATGCGTACATTAAAGGAGTATATCCGTCTTCATCAGTAACTTCGAGTTCGCATCCTTGATCGTATAAAAATTCAACTACTGGGAGATGTCCGTTGTAGCATGCGAAATGTATTGCTTGTTTCAATTTAAAACCAGTTTCATTCAAATTTCGGTTTTTAGACCAAAAGTATCTGATCGCATCAACTTGTCCATACTGTGCCGCGTAGTGAATTGGATAGTTTTTATTGGTATCTGGTTCGTCTTGATCTAAGATACGAATTATCTCCAATTTTCCGCCTGCTGCTGCGAAATGGGATGGAGTTCGTTTCTCATTATCTTTTTCATACACGTTTGCATTGAGTGCGATTAATGCTGACACGCATTCAACAGATCCAAAAAATGCAGCAACGGAAATTATAGGAGGTAATGATTTTAATATTGAAGGTATTTCGCATGATGTGATTTCGAATCCGTCGTTAATCTGTCCTGTATCCGAAAAAATTGAATATAATTCTTGAGGATTGTCTTCAATAATAACATTTAATAGCTGTAAACTAGTGGAATCTGGCATGTGATTACGTTTAAATTGCTTAATACTGAATAAAGCTCCGTTTTTGCTATATATTTGCGCGAGCTTCGACATTCCCCCTCTGATTTCGAATCACTTTTTGTCTCCCCCTATTTTAATTATTTTATTTCTCTTTAGATTTTTCACATCTATTGCTTCTTAATTAATGGGAGTTTTAGTCAAAATTTTATCAGAATCGAACAAAAAAAATCTGGCAAAGAAATTTTGATTTTTTATCAGTATTTATACAGGATAGTTTGTTTATATATTATTTACAAGAAAATATCGTTGATGTCATTCTATTGTCTTTGATGATTTTACAGATATTATTAAGCCAATCAGCTAGTATATTGTAGAAATCATCGTAATTAGCTTCTTCGTAAATCATCCTTGCAAAATCCTTTTGACAAGGAGATATTATTCAATTAGTTCAATAATTGGATTGATTTAACAGTATATTTATTACATAGTTAAATTGTTATGCATTACAGGATGCTTCCCAGATAACTATATTTCTTTGCAGTAAATATTTCTATTGTGAAAGCGACATAATACATAAATGGGGCGAATTTGTTAATTTTTGATCTCTATTCGGATTCGTAGATTTCTATTGAGCAGCAAAACAATTGAATCAAATCATGAATTAGGAAATCTATATTCGGAGCGTTTGAGTTTGTAACTTGTATTCTTAAAAGTCCCCTAACTCTACCACAAACTGCAAAACAGTTTACGATATTAGTTTGAATGTCATATTTTTTAATTAAAACTTTTGATAGATTAAAAGCTCGTTTCTTTTGCTGTTCCAAGTAGCTATGGAGTAATCCATTGTGGTCAATAGCAATAATCTGAAAAGAAGTTTCGATTTTTTCGGGTGATGATAAATTTTGAATAATTTTTCCACTTTGAACGTATTTTCCTCCTCTAACTATTACAAAATCTGAATCACGTTGCATACAATCGAATAAACAAAGAGCATTAACAATTTCGTTTTCAATTTGAACTTTATAATGCTCAATCGTTTTCTTTGTAATGGTAATTGGATTATATATTTGGGTTTCCCTCTTAGTTTCAATGTTAGTTTCTGAAACTTCTCTATAAAATTCTAAGTTGTTATTTTTATTTTCTCCCGGAGTATAAGATTCTTCAGGATCTAACTCAATCTGCTCAATTATATCAGCAGGAAGAATATCTTCAATAGTTCTGTCATAACAATATTTGGGTGGGCAAAAATATCGAAGATTCTTCATAACAAATGATAAAACTTTGGATATATTTTCACGAAATTTTATAGTGGTATATACCAACTCTCATAAGACATAATGAAATCTTGTGAATATTCTTAATCTTTTATAATGGGGTTGTTTGATGTGATTATTTAACACAATATACTATATTATGAGTATATTTGCAATGCACACAATTGACTACTGTTAATTTGAATCCAATAGAATTAAAATGGAAGAAATAATAGCTGTTAAGATTAAAATATAGATGTAAACTCCCTTTATTGCTGTTTATGTATATTATCACTTAGTCATTTTAGATTAGACGAAATTTTAAAACTATATCATGGGAAAGAAACGAATTATTCATTATAAGACATGATTACGTGATATATAGAAGTGTTCTATATATACGAACAGCAATCTCGCCATTGTCATTCTGTCGTTTTATGTGATGGAGAAAAAAAAATGAGAGAATTTCGAAAAAAAAGATACAAACAAGTGATTTTATTATAATTATTCATTTTCAATGAAATCATAAAACAATAAGTAAGCAGAAGTAAATGACTGTCCTGGTACTTTTCCTCTTGTGAAGTACTCTTCAACCTCTACTTCGCTCATTAAAATGAGATTTGCATCATTCGCCAAAACCCATTTTTCATCGACTCTGAGAAGGGCAACAAAATGTCCTGATTCCAAGCTTTCGCCTATATGAACGATGACAGAAGATAGTTTGTAGTGTCTATCGCAGAAAACTAATGAACTTGGAAATGGAATGACATTTTTAAGTTTTTTAAGCTGTTGATTTACTTTATCGTATTCAAATCTTTGTATTTGGAATACTAATACATTTGGGATCTCTGGATATGTAGTCATTACTCTTTTTTCTTGAGAAATTTTGCAAATAGTGCATTCACGTTTTCCTGCACCAGAAAGATATTCTGGAGATTGTAATGCTCTCAAACGATCTGTTAGACTAGTTTTATTTTTGATTCCAAGGAAAAATGTAACGAATGATTCAGAAGAATTGCTTTCAGCTCCACAGCATAAGCATTGTGAGCAAGATTCACTTCTAGCGTGTGAAAGTGAGCTGAATAATGGAATATTAAGTTTGTAAGTTGAATTAAATTTATTAATTTGATTATCAAAATTGTCTAGGAGCGCAACATAAAGCTCATGTGCATCTGATTGACGTCCTCTTGTAAATCCTATACCAGCTTTTATTAAATTTTCATGAAACAGCTTTGGAGAAATAACGTGCGTTTGTTCTTTTTGACTTTTTCTCATTCTATATATACAGAGAAGGTTATATAGAAGTGAATCTTTATCTTCATCTGATAAATCGATGTTTTTGAGTGTAGTGTGAAGATTTTCAAAAAATAAAATGAAATATTTTGAGTTTAATATGGCTTGAAGGACACTATTCATGTAGCAACTGTTTCCAAGGTTCGAGAACGAGATAAATTTTTGTGATTCTGGAAAAGCTCCATCAAAAGGAAGACAACTTTGTTGCCCACCCATTTTTTTTATTTCACCATTTGAACAAAATCAAGTTTTTATATAAAAAAGATATATAACTAAGGATGTTATTTAAATTTTTCCATGAAATTTATGGTTCCATCCAATCGTAAATCAATTCAAAATTAGAACTTTAGCGATAGTTGAATATGACTTAAATTCTAATTGGACTATATGTATTTATGTAAATTCTCCAACAAAATAAGAAAAAGGAGAAATCAATTGATAAATTTCACAGACAATAGAAATGAATGAACTGAAATTGGAATTCAATGATAGAGATTAGTATCATCTTGATTTTGAATCTTGAAAATGAAACAATTTCTGAAATTCAGATTCATTTTATCTCCATTTCGAATAATAAGGTTACAACAATAATGTAATCATGTTAAATAAGATAAAGAGCGATAATTTGCATAATTCCGATCTTTGATTGAAATAAAATATTTTTATTGCTTCCCATCAAAAATTGAATGCAACATTATAAAAAGTTTTGAAATCCGAATTGTAACGATATTATAATTTAGTATGAAAAGTATATTTAAAAAGAAATTTGGGAAAATGATGTTTTCAAATAGGCCGTTGTCAAATATTCAAAAATATAGTCATGATTTTATTTCGGTTATTTTCTTCGACTAATTATAAGCTGACTAACAAAACAAGGTCATTAATTAAATTGTAAAGTCTTTTCAAAAATATAATTACATTAATATACCTGCAGATCTCCTTCTTTATCATATCCCCAGAGCAGTTTCTGATTCGGGCTGACAATTATTTTTTTCTCAAAAAGTGGATATTCTAAACAATATTATTTACCTTATGTTGGTTGATTTTAACAAAATGGGAATTATTTTTATAAATAGAAAATCATTCCGTTCAGTGGTTTCATATTGTTTGAGAATAAAAACCACCAAAATTGTGTAGCATTACAATTTCAACCTTATGATATGACAGATATTAGATTTGATAGTTAGAACATTTGTTAGTGTCGTATATTTTTTTTTAAAATACAACGATTATTTACTTCTAAATTTTTTTCATGGAAGAGGAATTTCCTACTCAGTTGAACGTGCCTTATCATTATCCAAAGCCATCACGTCAAATGACAAATGGATTTTCCCTGACCTCCGAGCCAGCTTTTTTTGACGAAAGAATGTATTTGTACGACAAATTTTACAAATTAATTAAACGTATTTCGTATGATGCAAACAAAAAAGGACCATATTCTTTCGAAAGTTATACGCCCAATGCCAAATATCCCGCATTCGGGCTTCTACGCTTTCCAGAATACAATCAATTTGATGGTCCAGTTGAATATCACAAAACAATCACAATATGGAAAGAAAAAGTCCTGAAATTTTGTACAGGTGTCCTTCTTCCCTCTCCGATTCTCTGCAAAACTTTCATTCCTTCCCGTCCATCAATTCTCGACCCTTCTACTCCTTATTACAGAAAATTCGATCCGAAGAAATATCCCCTCCAGCCAAAGAACATGATTTTCCTTCATGAAGCACTTTTAAGTGATAAACCGCCGAATTATTACGAAGTTTTCCCTCAGCAGTTTCCGAAACGCGATGAAGTAGTTCTTGCCGACCACCTTGTCAACAAGATGCAATGGCAGTCGCAAATGGTTGTCAAAGAACCTCTTACTTTGATTTATTCGAATTTTCAAGAATATCACGAAGCATTCAAGAACTGGATGAATCTCGTTACGCAAAGATTCTGTGTACAGCCACCAATTCCAGTCAGACAATTCAAAGATATCTTGAAAATGCCGAAATACGAACCAATGGTTTCGACGAAATTCAAAGTTGACCCACAAAAGCAGAAGGACATGATCAAGGATATGCCAGACTACTCATGGGTAAGCTCTGTGAAGCAAAAAGGGCTTCCTAGAGCTCCACACATTCCAAAAGTCCTGAAAATCAAATATATACCGATAGTAAAGACAGAATACGAAAACATTATCGTTTACGGTGTCATGAAAGAGACTTTCAAGCAAGATTTCATAGATTACGGTTTTGATACGAAAACCAAGTATTCCGAAGGTCCCGTTTACCCATTCACCTACTTGGTATACCATCAGAAGGACAAGGAATCCATCAGAGCCGGTCTGAAGAAAATTATCAAATCAATCCAGCCAAATGACCCGTATTCCATTCTTAAATTCCTTGATTACGAATTCAATTGGGATGTCCTGCGTCTGATCGTCTCTTCGAAGATAAAAGGCACCAAAATGCTCGAAGTTATACTTACTCCGCCAAATTTCGATCTTTTCAAGGTTATTCTCCTCTACTCTCAGAAATCCATCGACCACAGCTATCGATGCTCAATTCTCCTGAAGATTTTGATCTACCATTCGAAATTTACCAACATTTTGCCTGTTCTCTTCCAAAAAGAAAATATCCACTACCTCTACCAATTCACCAGGCTTATAATGCTCACTTGTGACTATAACATTCCCCTCCATCCAGTGTACGGAGACTCGGAAATCGCGATTTTGATTGCTCAAGCTCATTTCGCTTCCGATCTCATTGCTTCGTATATATTCCAGATTGACACGCAAGGTGAGCGCGATATCAATAATATTTGCCACAAAATTACTGCAGAAATTGCGAAATATTTCTCAATTCAAGAAAACAAAGAAAGATTATTTGAATCGCTTCGCTCGAATGAATTCACAGAAGAGTCGCGCTGCTACTGCACTCTTTCCATCATCTTTTCTGAGAGAATTATCGAAACATTATTTTCTCAAGACACAATCAACATTATTTTGTCGATTCTTCCTTACAAAGTTGGCAAATACTTCATCTACAACTGTGTTTACGCCAATACTTACAAAATGGCGCTACTTTTCATCAGATCAAGTTTATCCTTCAACCACAACAACTTAATCACCGTAGATCACAACACTGCCTACTTCCTCGGCTATTTCATCGATTGCTTACCTTCATTTATGTTCAGTTGCAAGGGATATTCTCCATTCGACCATGTCAACCGAATTTTACAGACCACCCTTAACGATCTCAACCAGAACTTGATCCCCTTCGTCTACTCCCTGGTCAAATTCATCTCCAATGTCAACAGTATGAAATTGGACTCAATTAACCTGTTCCAGGACTTGATTGGCTCCGCAATCTGCAGAATTGACGTCCAATACAACATGGAGAAGAACATTTCCTACAAGAACGTCCTCAAATTCCTTAAACCGATATCAAAGATCAAATTCTTCCCTCAGAAGTTCCTGGAAGCACCGGATTTGGTCCTCGCAGTCATGGATCAGCTCGAATCTCCAAATATGGTCACAATGCTCGGAAGTTGGGGAATTTTCAAGGCTGCGTGCGCTTCTCAAGACTTAATGCACTCAATACTGCTGATTGGAGGCGTGGACAAGAGGTTGCAGAAGCTCACGAGTTCAGAAAACCCTTATGTTATTTCCGAATTTTGCATTTTCATCAAAAACCTCGGAAAACACGATGCCAAGCTTCTTGATCTCCTTGAATCCCTCATCCAGCCATCGATGGGCAGATTTGCCTGCACAATCAAGAACATGGACTTCTTATTCGCTGATTACGCGAAGACAAAGAAGTCAATCAACGACATGCTGATGCAGGTTTACTCTGTCAACTCCAAGTTCTCTACTGATTTGACTCCGCACTTGATGTCCCTGCAAATGGACTTGAGAAGGTACATGAGAAGGTCAACATTCATTTTCAGGAACTCTGGATCGAATTAATGTATTTATTTGTATGCGATTTTTTTGTTATTATAATAAAATATTAAGGGTGCACCCGTATGTACGTTTATTTGAGAGGAGGAGGATTACCCTCTCAATTTTGAGGGATTCGTTAGTTTATTTTCTCGATGAATATGCAATAAAATTTGATTTTTACCTTATCAATATACTTCATATAATATACACATGTTCATGTAAAAACTTTTTTCCAAAATCCTCAGGAATTAAGGGTGCACCCGTATGTACGTTTATTTGAGAGTAGGAGGATTACCCTCTCAATTTTGAGGGATTCGTTAGTTTATTTTCTCGATGAATATGCAATAAAATTTGATTTTTACCTTATCAATATACTTCATATAATATACACATGTTCATGTAAAAACTTTTTTCCAAAATCCTCAGGAATTAAGGGTGCACCCGTATGTACGTTTATTTGAGAGTAGGAGGATTACCCTCTCAATTTTGAGGGATTCGTTAGTTTATTTTCTCGATGAATATGCAATAAAATTTGATTTTTACCTTATCAATATACTTCATATAATATACACATGTTCATGTAAAAACTTTTTTCCAAAATCCTCAGGAATTAAGGGTGCACCCGTATGTACGTTTATTTGAGAGTAGGAGGATTACCCTCTCAATTTTGAGGGATTCGTTAGCGCAATATCTCGATGAATATTGTATTAAAATTGAATTTGCCCATACCAATATATCTGATACAATATCCTTAAGTTTTACTAAAAAGAATTTTTTAAAATCCCTGCAGATTCGGGGATTTTTAAATTTTTTGATTTTTTTCGCAAATTTTTCGAAAAAAAAATATTTTCAGAAGAGCCTTAACGGCTAAGATTTAGGAACAATGTTAAGTATCAAAAAGAAAGGAGGTCTGATATAGACAACATATATCGTTGAAGGTTGAAAAAATCTCTAATATTTGAGCCCAAAATTTCAAATTTTAATTTTTTGAAAAAAAGGGAGAAGCTTCCTAAACTTTTTAATCCCATAAATATGGTCATTATCAAAAAAAAAAAAAAAAAGGTAGTGGTGTTGCATGCTAAGTTCGGTCAAAATGTAAACCTCTCAATTTTATCGTCGGGGGAAGTAACTCAATTCCTTCAAAATTATTCTTTAAATATTGAATTTAAAGTTATTTAATTTGGATTATAAATAAATAGGCTAATACAATATTTAAAAATGAGAAAAAAATAACTTTTCAAAGAACTTTTCATAATCTCAAAGAAAATTTTTTATTCAATAATTATATAAATTAATTAACATTCATAATGAAATTGGATTTTTTTATAAAAAATTGGTCCTACTTAACTTTTTGAGAGAATTTGGCTTTCTCGTAAACGAAAAAGGGATTTGACGGAGTCAAATCCCCGCTCACAAAAAGTGGACTTTACATGTCAAATTTTATATGCATGTAATGTCCACTTTTATGAGTTTTAGGAAGGAATTGGAAGCCATGAGTTACTGACATTGCATCAGTATCTCATAGCCTCCAATTCCTTCTCGAAAGTGTCCAAACTTTGGGTTAATTGCAAAGTATTAACCCAAAGTTTGGACACTTTCAAGTGGAGATGGAAGGCTTTGGGGTATATATTAATACAATATACCTCAAAGCCTTCCATCTCCACTACAAATGTGAGAAACTTTGTCCGAATAGTTTAACATTCGGACAAAGTTTCTCCCATCTTTCAATGTAATTGCTACCTGTGAGGTACTGACTTGAAGTCAGTGCTTCACAGGTAGCAATATCCAAAAATTTAAAAACATTTTATCAGTTCGTTAGAGAACTAGAGCCTCCTAGGTACTGAACCAGAATCAGTGCCTAGGGGACTCTAGTGATCTATATAAATCTGAGAAACTTTGAGGAAATTGTTCGACATTTCCTCAAAGTTTCTCAGCAATTTAGCGAGGAATGTTCGTTATCGTGTAGATATTTATAATATATACATGATAACAAACATTCCCCGCTAAAAGATGTAAAATCTTATAAGAAATAATTGCAAAAGAATAACAAATTGCAACAAATTTTATATGAAACTGAACCTTATGAGGTAGTGATTCAAGATCACCGCCTCATAAGATTCAGTTTCAATCTCAAGTATCTCAAAAGTAAGGCTCTATTTTTTGCCATGTAAAGTGTCACTTTTCTGTCCAAATGATAAGTTATTCAGAGAAAGTTTCCCAGCTATCAAGAGGGAATTGTTCCTTATGAGGTATATATTCATACTGTATACCTCATAAGGAACAATTCCCTCCTTAAAACGAGAAAACTTGTTCGAAATTGTTTATCATTTCGAACAAGTTTTCTCGTTTTTAATAAGAAACTAAAGGCTATGAGGCACTGATTATATATTAGTGCCTCACAGCCTTTAGTTTCTAATAGATAGCTGGGAAACTTTCTCCAAATGATAAGTTATTCAGAGAAAGTTTCCCAGCTATCAAGAGGGAATTGTTCCTTATGAGGTATATAGTTATAATGTATACCTCATAAGGAACAATTCCCTCATTAAAATCGTAGATATTTTTTACTTATTACTCATGCTTTCAAAATCACAATCCTCTGAAAAGTTATTTTTTATTAAGAATTTAGAATTTTGATAAATACCTTTTTTCAATTTGATATAATACTTATATATTTTCAAAAAGACATTTTGAAAAGATATCTCAAAAGTTCTCTGAAAACCTATTTTTGATTAATTTTGAGAAATATCCGTATTAAATTAATCAATAAATTCATTCAACACTACTTTAATTTTTAAATTCAAAAAATTATATGTGCTTCTTAAAATGTCTCACAAAAATTTTATTATAAAATTATATACAATATTAAAAATCCCACAACATTTTTTACTTTACATAATCGTACTTCCTCGACGATTAATTTTCCCTCAATTCCTATCGTTGACCGAACTTAGCATGCAACAGTGGGGCTTCCAGGCACTTCGTGCCCTCTAGCCCTGAAGATGTTTAGTATAACTTTGTCCGGACAAGTAAGGGTCTATCGTCGCTACAGGAAAAGTTACGGGCGTTCCAAGGAAGTATACTTTGAGAAGCCTTTTCTCCTTATAGAATGAGATAGGACGGTTATTTTACAAAACTGACAACACTTTGACCGAGTAGTTTTTTGTGCTGAACAAAAAGTGTCATATAAACATCTGTCAAAAACCGTTTTTTACTTCACTTAAAATGCCACGTAAGCTACGTAAGAATATACGTAAGAGGAAGGGAGCATTGAAACATCCAATAGTAAAACTGACACCACAACAACAGTTGCAACAACAAATGATGAATGACCCCACTATGTTGCAACAAATGTCAAGCAACCCTATGCTTTTAAACCGAGTTATTGGTGCACAGAGTGGAGGTTTAAGAGCGGCACTTTTAGCGAAAATGGCAGGCTATGGTGGAGCTGCAGACGGAACAGCTTATAACCCTCAAAGTCAAATGAATTTGAGTTCACTCAAAAATCAAATAACAGATGTCAAAAAGTCAAACATAGACATACAGAAACAAATAAGTGAAAACGAAAAGAAACTAGAATATGACAGACACACAAAGAAACTCAATGAATTAAACGTAGAGAAAAAGAAGAAAGAAGAACAACTGAAAGAACTAAGTACAGAGGAATATGCAAAAAAAGTGTCAGAAAAGCAGCAGAAGTAGCAAAAATGGAACAAGATGTTATAAATTTGAAAAACCATACTACTCAATATAAAGTACTGAAAGATGAAGAAATAAAACAAAAAGCCCTGAAGACATATATGGATAGCGATGAGTATAAAAAAGAAGTTGAAGCAAATGTAAAGGCAGAAAAACTTTTACAGTTGCAAAACCAAACCGTACAGTATGAAAACTTAGCACAAGAAAGTAAAAATAACGACGCAGCCATGCAAAAGGCAATGAAAAGCGCAGAATATATAAAAGCTAATAATGACTGGTTAGATGCCCAAGCCAACGCTAAAGCAGCCCAACTTATAGGGTCAATAAGGACAAAAATACAAGCGGATGAAGACAGTTCAAATGAAGCTTTAATGAATGCTGACTTTAAGAACGCCTTCGAAGCTCTTCATAGTAAGGTGAAACTAGTGAACGACTTCTCATCTGGAAAGAAACTGAAGTCTGAAGGTTTCGACAACGAGTTAAGAGAAGTAGCACAAAATATGACGAAAATAACAGATGCAGCAACGAGACAGGCAGTTCAAAGTGCCTATGACGCCGTTAGAGCAACTGTTGTGGAAAGTCAAGAAAAAGAGTTACAACAGACCAAAACAGACCTAGTAAATGCTTTCTTAAGAACGAAAAGTCAGGTAGGACATTATGCTGCAGATGGAACATATGTGCCAGCTGGTGGAACTTATATACCACCAAACCCTCCAAGAGAAGCACCTGCACCAGGACTACCTAAAACATTTACATCGTCACATGGACACAGACACAGGCATGCACCAAAACCAACACAACAACCAACACAACAACCAACAGTTCAAAACACTGCACCACAACCAACAGTTCAAAATCCAGCACCACAACCAACAGTTCAAAACACTGCAGCACAACCAACAGTTCAAAACACTGCACCACAACCAACAGTTCAAAACACTGCACAGCAACAACCACAAACAGAGCAAGGACATAAAAGAAGTAGAGAACAAGGAAACCAAGAATTCTTAAAAATGCTTAAGGAAAATTATGGTTACCCAGATACTCTTGACTTTAGTGACAGATATAAAGAAGCTATTAGAAAGTTCAAGGAAGGAAATACTGACCCGAACCTATTTAGCTTTATGGTTCAGCACCAAATGGGATATAATTTCAAACCTGGAAAATACAAGCTCGCTAAGGGATATGATTTAATAGCATATCATCCAAATGACATGAATGAATTTACTCCGAGATATTTGGTGTCAGAGATAAATGATAATTCAACTATCTTCATGAAACGCGTAAAAAATAGAGACGGAACGAAAGAAGAAAGGGTTATGAATGCGGATGGCTTAAATAGGGAACTTGTTAAAAACGGTCTCGGAATATATGAAATGCCAGCAGATGAGGTACAAGAAACTCCACAGGAAGAAGTTCAGATACAACCAGACATGGAAGAAATAGTTCAGCAACAACAGCTAAAAGAGCCAGAAGGAAACGAACAAGTCCCTCCTTTGGAAACTAACTTCACAGAACTAGATGAAGATTTGGAACAGCCGAAAAATCTTGACCCTCAACAAGAGTATGCGGAGAATATGGAATCTTTCCAAGAGTCTAAAAAAATTCAGCTGACATAGTAGAAGAATATCGAAAAATGTTCGCGACATACAAAAGACTCCAACATCAGATGAAATATTCAGCATAGAATGGAAGTACTGAAAAAAATGTACGCAAATACAACAATCTTTTTACTTACGACCATATAACGTTCAATCTTTGGCTGACTCGGTGAAAATAAAAGGTTAAATTTCAACAAAACATATAGAAATGAAACATTGTTTAAAGTTCATTCAGAACCTAACAATATGGAAAAACTACTTTTGTTTCTGCAGACTATGGAATACAATGAGATGGGGTCATAAGCTAATCCGGATAGGTGGTTCATAAACTTACAACCACAATTCCAAGAAGTTGTAGACGCAATGGAAGTGAATGGTGAACAGATATAGCTGGTATTTTCAGCGCGGCTTTAATGCCATTGAAAGATATGAAACATGCAGATATTTTGGACCAGTATGAAATGAACATGGCTGATGGAAATATAACACCTGACGTTCTAGAACATTTATCTCAAAGAACTACACAGAACATAGAGATGGTATATTTGGTGAAGAGTTTAGAAAGAAAGTTAGGGAGATAGAAGGAAGAGAACCTATTGTACATGACCTTGCAAACGAAAGTTTACAAAATGTCATAAAAACTTACTTTGCAGACAATGAACTGAGAAGGGATGAATATTTAAGAAAACTAAATGGACAGTACAAATGAAATGTTAGTATTGAAAAACATGTTCCTTGACAAAATAAAACCAACTACAGAAATAAATGACGCAAGACTGAAACATTGGGTAAAAGCTTTCCATTCACAAAAGATATTATTGTAACATGGAAAGAAAAGAATGGCTACAAAACATATATTTGGAAACGAGCTATTCCATATGGACAAGCTCTATTTGAAGAGCTTGAACCGGAAACTCAGGAAAGAGTCATGCAACAATACGCGAAGACTCAAATACAAACTATGACAAAATCTTTCTAGGATATAGGTTACCTGAGATGGGCGACCAGAGCCCAAAGGCAAAAAGGACATGGGAAATTTACAACATACTAGGTGAACATGAGGCAAAGATGCAACACTTGAAGCAGAGGGCAAGTTACAAAAGCGACACCAAAGAAGAGAAGAGTAGAACAAAGTGAAAGTAGTGAAGAAGTAACTTCATCTAGTGAAAGTAGTGGCAATGAAGGAAAAAGAAGAGTTAAAACTCAGTCAGGAAGAAGTAAATTGGTCGAGTGGGTTCTATTATGACACATAAATCAACTATTCTATATTTTTACCCATATGAAATGTAGCGCTCAGAATATAACGCCAACAGTTTTGGATGCATGAACGGAAATGTTTCCGAATGGTATAACGAATGCGACAATGCATTAGAAGGTCAGAAATAGTTCTGGAACTTACGAATATACAACTGCTGTTTCTTATGGAAACGTAGGTGAGTTTGGAGAAGGTTTTCAACAACAGTAGATATTGCTTGCGACAGGTTTCATATTATTTCTATTGACAACTCATTCTTATACGTGGAACAAGACATTGAAATAAAACCTTCTGCCAAGTTGTCTGACAAGAAAGGTTGCAATGGAATTTTCTATGTCGGATACAATATGCTCCAGAAGTTTTCATGGGATATAAGATATATTCTAACTCTGACTTAGTTCAAACAGTAACATGGGCAAACTATGAATGGTTCGCTTTGAAGAAACTCAGTACAACCAAAGCTAGAGAACAAACAGACCAGTATGCAAATATTGAGAAAATAAGAAGACTTGACCTAACGTTCAGGAGTTTATGTTAACCTTTCTGGACAAACTTCAGAGCAGCTAACAAAGTAAAACTGAAACTTAGAGTTCCTTTGTCATCTTTCCTCATCTCAGGTTTTTAAGATACTTGCCAAACTGGGCAGGAAAATTTCTATCGAACTTACTCCAAGCAAAAATAACTTAGTCATTGCACCAACACAAGACCCATTCACTATTACAGACGTAAAGGGAAAATCAAACATCATTCGCCGAATTTTGCAAAGACAAAGTTGACTTAGACTTTGGTTTCTTCAAACTTCAACAATGAAGTAAACTATTATTTCAATGCTGCTGGAGATGCTTGGGACCAGTTAAGTTCACATGCGAAAAATTTGAATGCAAGAGAATAGAAGCAGACTTGCGTCTATATGTTGGACCAGATATTTCAAATGCTTTAGCTGCCAAATATATTGCAGTTCCACTTATGTTTCCCTATACACAAATCTGTCAAAGACTTTCAGGTGAAGTTGGAAACCAAGTGCTGACCCAGGTGGCAAGAACAGATATTGCTTTAACAACTGAATGAACATGCAGATACTATGTTTGTACTGTTCAGACGAACTAATAAATGACTATTCTTGTTTCTACAACCCGGTATTAAATATCATATAAACATAGATGGCAAATATTATCCAAGAGAAGAATATTCTACAGTTGAGGATATGAGGTCATACAACTTGACATTAGATGCTATGAACTTTAACAACAACTTCACAACAACATTAACCCTGAAATGCAAAGTTCTATTATGCCATATGTGAAAGTATGGACTCATACAGGAGGTCAAAAAATCAATATACAAATGGAGACCGTTCAAACTTTTGGCTTGGCATTCCATTTGCTGACTCAGAAGACTTTATGGGTGGTATTTCAACTGTTGGTACTGTACAAATACAATATACTGGTGACAGAGACGGTCCAGATGAATGAGAGCAAAGAAGTTTACAAAACCAATAGCACTTTTCACGGAAGATGCTCTTTTGAAGATTCGTTCGATGAAACCTGCTGGGGCTCCTCAGAATTGGCAAACGACAGCTTCCATCGAGCAGATTTTGGCAGCAGGTCAGTAAGTTGTTCTTTGAACTGACTTCTCTCCGTCAAATATTGACAGTACGCCAGTTTTGACATAATATTGTAATATAAACTTACCTTTAGAAATATCTGTAAGTTTTGTTGTTATATTTTTGTCAACGTCAAGAACTTTCACCATTTCAGTTATACCAACTTTCTTTGCTTTATGAAATATTTTGGTTCAGCAAAGACTGCTATTCTATAACATTTACCATTGTTTGTATAAAGAACTATTCTGTCAATGTATTTGTATTGTTTGTGTGTGTAAACTTTGTTCTGCTTCAATTCGAAGAGATATCGAATACGTCCATCTTTTTATTCTAAGTAAAATGTCATTTCCGAAAAATAGAAGCGTGAGTGTTTCAAAAGGTTTAATGGCGGTGGCAGATGTGAAGTTAAATTCACCAACTCAAACAAACAGTCAAAGTGTTATTGTCAATGTCAAAGACAGAGATGTTGAAGTGGGGAAACCATACGAAGACGAAGATGGTATAACAATTGTTCCTGTAAAAGAACCAACATATCCTGAAGTTAGCAGAGACTTAAGTTCTGTTGCAGATATTCGAAACGACTACCAACAACTGAAAGACAAACTTCAAACTCAGGAGAAGATTTGTCAAGCTTTAGTATAATGTTAAACTTGGTCGAACACAACCTGTAAAAGTGAACTCATATGTCATTGCACTCATGAAGTTTTGAAAGAACTATTGAAACTTTTGACAGAGGCAGACGATATAAACATCAAGAAATAGAACCCGACATTAGTTGCTGTGGTGTTTATATAATGTCATTGACAAGATATACGTTATGAAAGGAGGTGAAACGTTGAACTTAAAGTTATAGTTTCCCAGACGTCATAAAATATTTGACGACCACAACATTTCATTAAAATTTATTTGCTAAGTAATGGCAGAAGATATAATGGTTTATACTATTACGACTAAAAACCCTGAGTCATATAATTCTATAACAACAAACTTACAAAGTCCTCAAGGACGGTATTGTAAACTAACTTAAACACAATGACGACTAAAGCCTGTTTTGCTCTTTTGACACCAGAAGACTTTATTGTTGTGAATGGTAAAAAATACTCCTTTGAAGATACTTACTCAGATATACCACCAACAGGTTTTGTTGACTTATTTAATACTTTAAGTACGGGTGTAACATGTGCTGCAACTAGAGCAGGTTTCATTATGTTTGGATGTCCGACTGAGTTTACTATAAACGATATGAGCTATAATACAAAACTTATTTCTGGTTTTTACTACCAACAGTTTCCTATAACAGGAAAAGGTGTCATACAAGGAATGTCTATTCCATTGACATTAAGCACACCAATCTTATATATTGTTTCAAACTTAGGTTCAAAGTGTTATTCGAATGTCGACAGAAACTATTATGACCAAAAGATACTTATGCGTATAAACAATACTTTCTCTGCTGGTTTGCCTATTGTTCATTCGAATGCAGAATTTTCAACCTTAGTGAACTCAAACACTTTGGCAAGTATAACGTTGACATTAGTTGACGCAAACTTTGTTCCTGTAAAACTTTTATGTCCTATGTATTTGTCAATGACGGCAGAAAGTTTCGAATTGGAAGATGCAACTGGTGAAAGTATTGTATTACAAGAACAACTTCAACAACAAATAGCTCAAGAACAACAAATGCAACAAATGCAACAACAAAGTCAAGAATAAAAAAAATATTTTTTTTTATTTTTATAAAAATGTACAGAATAGATGTTTCAGATTTTTATGACTTCCAAGCATTCAGAAATATGTGTCCATTTCGAGACTATAACAAAGCAGTCGAGAATTTGAAACGTTTAGTCATTTATGTCGACTCTGCCCCAGAATGTTATGTTATGAAAGAATGGGATGTTGTCTTTAACAAACCAAGAGCAACAATAGTTTCAGAACAAGAATGTAGACAGAAACTTAAGAAAATAAAAGTCGTACAAGTTGGCATGAAGATGTTAGATGCTTGGGATATCTTATTGTCAAAGTTAGAAGATTTTTCAGTTCGAGGTATAAAGTTCTATACACCTTCTCCAAACTTCTATTCTATCTTCACTGGATATAAATATGAACAAGTAGAATGGAAAGAAAATATTATAGAAGCTTGGTTAGACCATGTCAAAGAAATTATATGCAATGGAAACGAAAGAGTCTATGAGTATATCTTATGTTGGTTTGCAAACATCTTACAACATCCAAGTGCTAAAAATGAAACTGCTCTCATTATAATTGGAAAACAAGGAACTGGTAAGAACACATTCTTTACAGATATTTTGTGCAAACTGTTAGAAGGTTATTCGAATCCGAATATGACAAACTTAGAAAACATCTGTGGCAAGTTTAACTCCTCAATAGAGAATATGAAACTTATAGTATGTAACGAACTTCAAAGTATAGATACAACAAAAGTTTTGAACTCAGATGCTTTGAAGAGTCTTATAACAGACAAAGTTGGAGTTGTTGAAAGAAATATAAAGACCAAAGAGTTTGTGAAAATGTTGCAAACTTCATTATGGTTTCAAACAATGCTGTTCCGATGAAGTTAGAAAGTTCTGACAGAAGATATGTAGTTGTCAGAACGTCAGATTCTCATATGCAAGATACAGAATATTTTGACGACTTAGCAGAAACTTTGACATCTGACTTTTACAACCACTTGTTCTCATATTTTATGACATTAGATATTTCAAGTTCAATCCAAGACAAATTCCACATACCGAAGAGAGACAAACATTGTTAGAAGCAAACAAGAGTGTATATGAACTGTTCATAGATGAAACTGACTTTGAGTGTTTTAGATGAAAGGTCATTGTACGATTCGTATAAACAATATTGTCAAGAATATGGTTATATGACAGCGTCTAAACGAACATTCTTGGCAAATGTCAAAAGTCTTTTAGACGTACAGAATGGTGTATATACAAAGAAAATTTTTTATGAGTAAATTTAAAAAAAAATATTTTTTTATCCGATAGAAAAAGATGGCAAAATTCATCTCAGTAAACAAGTACATGTCAGGACTTAAAGAAGAACTAGACCCATTCACATATTTGAATGTTTACTTCTACCATTTTGAAAAGTCTTCATTCAGCAAAGTTTGGAACATCGAACCAGTTAAGTTTGCTATTGTGACTAAAAATGGTGCGAAATTTGAAGACTTAGACATAGAAGGTTTGTTAGCAGTCAAAGAAAGTTTTGACAGAAGGTTCAAACCTTAAAGAAGGCAAAGCATACAAACTTGTTATACCTTATGAACCAAAGAAAGCAGACGACTATGAATATTATGAGTCTAAGATAGTTGAAAGTTCAAGGTAAATTGGGTAAAAAGATTTTAGAGTCTAAGCCAGTGTTTGCTCCTAAAGAGGAAGAGAACATTGACATTGACCCAGAAATGTTCTAAAAATAAAATTTTATTTTTACATGTCAAATTTCTTTTTCTCTGGAACTGGTTCAGGTTCTTTCTTCTCTTCTTCTACTTTCTTTTCTTTCTTTTTCTTTCTTCTTCTTTTCTGGTGGAGTTATGTCAAATTTGGCGCAACTATATTTATGTAAAAGTTCTTTGTCCTTTAATAGCTCTTCTATTCTGTTTTCTATTTCATCTTCAAGAACAGCGCATGTGTCTTCTTTGCATTCTAAGAAGTTTTGTTGGACTTCATCTCTCCAAGAGGCGTCATCTCTGTCAACAAGTCTGTCATTGACAAATTTTAAGACTTCTCTGCTTAATGTTTTATGGTTCTTGTCATATTCCCAGAAACAGAACTTTAGAACAAATTCCCTTTCTTGTTTACACTATGTAAGATTTTATGGTCGACAGATGTTTTGCTGTCGAAAAGCTTGTCTCGAATATAGATAGCGAAATCGCTAGACATTTTCTAAAAGATAAAAATTTTAATTTTTCTAAAAAATGTTAGAAAAAAAGTTTGCTGACATTGACAAAAAATTTGAGAATGTTTTAAACAAGAACAAGAGGAAGTTAGAAAATGCTCAGATAAAACCTATACATGACAAGTTCTTATTTGCTCAGAATGGTATAACAGGTCTAATTGCACCACCTGGGTCGGGTAAGACTTTCACTTATCTTAAAATGGCTGCACAACAACAAGAACTAGATGAGAAGAACCCATTCTATGAGTTAGTTGTCATTTGTAGTACTTCTGGTCAATTTGACCAAACCGTCAATTCGTTCAAAGATATTATAAAGAAGTCTAAGTTAGTATGTATAAAAGACTCTGAGTTGTTAGATTGGATAAAGAAGTACCAAAGAAGAGTTTTGAAGTATAATGCTATAAATGAGTATATAAATTCTAAGTTTAAAGACCCAAATGAGGAAATGCAGAGAATATTAGAGAAGAAACACTTCAGAAACAAACAGAAAGAGATAGAATACATTTCGAAGAAATTGCAATCTTACGATTGGAAGACATACCCTCATAGATGTCTTCTTATCTTAGATGACTTTGCTTCTCATCCTTTGTTAAAGAACAGAGAACAAGATATGTGTCGAATTCTTAAGAAACTTAGGCACTTTAACATCTCAGTTGTCATTTGTGTACAGACAGCAAAGAGTTTAAGTAAGGATGTTAAAAGAATACTTACTGACATTATACTTTTCCCCAGATTGTCCGAAGACGATTTCATGGAACTTATGAAAGAGTCCATGGCAGGTAAGTTTGACAGATATGAACTATGGGAGAAGTACAAAGTCATACAAGACCCTCATACTTCTTTCAGAATTCATATCTACGCGAACAAAGTTCAAATTGTAAAAAGTCAAGCTTGAAAAATGTAAGTGTTTAGTCTTAGTAAGATGGTAGCTTCTTAAAGCATATGCCGTCCTTGAGTTTTAGGTACGTGAAGAGAAGTACAATGAATTCAATTACGAGTACAATTGCAATGACAACCAAGGCAACTATTTTTGTCTTTTGCCAGCAAGGGTACTTCTTCTCTTCCAATGGTTCGGCAGAACTATACTCACTCATGAGAAATGCCAAAACGGTTTAATAGAAAAAGTGTCATCTACCCTACTTGTTTGAAGTTGTCAAAATACTCCGTTATTTTTCACGATTTTCATAGAGTTTTGGCGACCCAGAAAAAAGTCGGTCTCGCTGTTCTTCACTGTTTTCATACGGAATCTCTTCTCTTGGTTTTCCGAGGGAAGCAAGCATATGAGGAAATTCATGAAATTTGGTCATTTTTCAGCAAAAATAATGTTTAGGTGAAGAGGTGAGATCTCACCTGTTTTTTCACCTAATTTTTCACCTCTTTTTTTCACAACCGTTTTACATGGTAAGCGTTATTTTTTGACGAAGTGAACATTGACACTTCGTCAAAAAAATCCCTGAAATCATATCTTTTATACAAAATAAAAAAATAAAATGACATTTTTTCATTAGATAACTGTTATTTTTTGACGAAGTGAACATTGACACTTCGTCAAAAAAATCCCTGAAATCATATCTTACATACAAAATAAAAAAATAAAATGACACTTTTTCATTAGATAACTGTTATTTTTTGACGAAGTGAACATTGACACTTCGTCAAAAAAAATCCCTGAAATCATATCTTACATGACACTCATTTAAAAAAATACACTTCGGAAAAAAACTAACTTTATTTTTCTATCTTAAGGAAATTCATGAAAATTCAAGAGGTGAAAAAAGAGGTGAAAAAACAGGTGAGATCTCACCTCTTCACCTAAACATTATTTTTGGGTCCTTTACACTCATTACGAAGAAGTCTTGACAAAACATTTACGAAGAAGTCTTGACAAATTCAAGAGGTGAAAAAACAGGTGAGATCTAACCATCTACCCGACATTCTCGTCAAATACAAAAAAATGAAAAAGTGTCATTTTTTTCATGTCCGAAGACTCGAAGGTGCAACACTTCCAAAATACCGACGAACTCAGAAGAGCAGCATGGCAGTATCTTCTTGACAACTTCTTTGAGTTCTCCAGGTACACCTTGGAAAATGCTGAAGAACTCCGACACAGAGAATTTGGAGAAATTGCACTCCAATACTACCTTGACAAACAAAGGGTAAACAAAGGGTAAATTAACTAAAAACTTAACGTTTAAAAAGTGACATTTTTATGAGCTCCGAGTCACCGAGAAAACTTGGTCAGATGTTAGCAGCTTACTTCCCTGAGGAGGATGGAAGCGTTACATACGTAAGGTTCAAAAACAACGAACCTGGAATTGCGTACCAAATTCGCAATTACATGACCATGGAAGAGTACGAAAGGTTCCTACAAGAGAAACCAGCTCTAAACAACTCAGAAAAGAAAGAATAAAAAGTTTAACTCGTAATTGTTTATTTTTTTTACTTGTATGGGCAAGCTGCAAGAATGAAGTCGACTATCTCAGTCTTTGTCTTGACCAGTTGGACGGCTCTTGTGAGTATGTCTGTTTTGCGGTCTCCAGCTGGTGTCTGACCTTCGTAATTGCGCATGTTCTTGAGAGCTCCAACTGTAAATGGTTGTAGGATGAAGAGTCTCTCAGACTGCTTGAGGTAGTCTTCACGGTCACGAACCGAATCTGCGGTACGAGTCGAATCGGTCGATTTGAGGGAAGAGAGTGAGAGCCTGTCTTCTTCCATTGGGGTAGTAGCATACTCTTTGCGTAAGCGGTTCAGACCTTCCTCGAACTCTTGGTCTCTCTTGGATTGAGATTGGAATTGTGGGGCAGGGTTTTGCATAAACATCCAAGGGTTGGGGAAGTAAGGCATAGGCTGAGGAGGGTAGTTCGGGAAGCCTTGTGGTGGGTAGTAACCTTGAGGTGGAAATTGGTAGTAAATCGGAGGTACTTGCTGGAACTGAGGTGCAGGGGCTGGTGCTTTAGGTTCCTCTGGTTTGGGAATGGACTGGGTTGGTGGTACGTCGGACATTGTTCTGAAACAGTACAAGACTAGTTCTGAAACAGTACAAGTATTGTTCTGAAAAAGTACAAGTATTGTTCTGAAACAGTACAAGTATTGTTCTGAAACAGGACAAGTATTGTTCTGAAAAAGTACAAGTATTGTTCTGAAAAAGTACAAGTATTGTTCTGAAACAGAAAATTTTTCTCACAAATTGAGAGCTTTTACGGGAAATTTGTTCTGAAACAGGACAAGTATTGTTCTGAAAAAGTACAAGTATTGTTCTGAAACAGTACAAGACTAGTTCTGAAACAGTACAAGACTAGTTCTGAAACAGTACAAGTATTGTTCTGAAAAAGTACAAGACTAGTTCTGAAACAGAACAATGGACAACATCGAGCCATTAGATGAGGCAATTTACCTTATAGAGATAAATGAAGTTGTTAAGCAGTACTTGGGCAAGGACAAAGCCAACAAGTCCCTCGGCTGCTGGTTGTCTGGAAGAGGTGCGCTGAAAATCGAAATTGAAACCGGAATTCCAATTCAAATACCAGAAAACACTCCTGTAGACGACATAAAGGAGATGAAGAAAGAAGCTCTTCTCAAGTTCTTTGCAAAGCGCCCATGGATACAACTTCCAAACAGAGAGAGTCCAATTCCACGAATTATACAAATTCTCAGAGCACTGTTCCACTTCTCAGGACGGCCGTTCTTCATAACCTCAGAAGGCGACATCCAACCAGTACTGTAAACCTTAACGTTTAGAGTAAAAACATTTTTTTTCATTTTTTGAATGAAGCAAGTTAAATTCGTCCCACACCAATCTCAATGGACCGATGAAGAGTTTCAAGCCATCGTTGAAGACGTTGAGAACGACATAGACGGCGAACTTAAGGAGCTCAAATCACAATTGCAACCAAAATTGCAGAGGTCAAGGAACAGATAGCTCCACTTAAAGCTACCAAAGCTACTCTTGACCTCATGGATAGTTACCGTTTAGATGTCAAGAGTGGAATAAGACAATTAAAATTAAAACTTCTAAACTACGAAGCTATACTCCAAAAGTTAGCAGAAATGAGAAGACTTTACCAGAGCTACTTACATGTAAGGGACTTACCTTCAAGCAGTCCGACCAAAGATGAATTTGTTGACATTGTCCCAATTTTGTCCGAAAGTCAGCTCAGATGTTTCGAACTGCTCCCAACATATCCGGAATATGAACGTTTGCCTGAACTCTTTCGGTTCCTCAAAAAACGTTTTTTGGTTCTCATGTTCCAAACTTTTATCGGAAGAGACAACAAACGTTCAGAAGAAGAACAAGATATTATTTTAAACTTGTTGTATGACATAACTGTCATAACAAGCTTTTTGAAGTAAAACCGCCATTCTCAAACCACTTCATTTTTTCGATGTCCGAACAAGCACCGAAGCCAAACTCAATGGCAGATGTCCTTTCAAGGTTGCCAGACAAGCGCCCAGTTCAAATTCAAATTGCCCAATTGAACGCTCATCTGTCAAACACCATTAAGACTCTCCAAAGTAGTCTTATGGAAGAGATAACCAATCTCAAAGCCAATGTCCTCATGAACCAAGCTTCCAATGAGAAAGTCCTGAACGATTTCGCGGAAACCTTGCGCCAATACAACATAGAGAACCAAAACCTTGCCCGACTCATCTACCGTTTCTTCGAAGAGATAGACGCCATCTGGAAGGTACTCGGAAAGGACAGAACATGCAACACCGTACTTCGTGAACACAGAATTGCCGAAGGTATTATCAAAGAAGAGGAAGAAGAGGAAGAAGAAGAAGAGAAACACGAAGAAAAGGAAGTTTGGGCAACCCTTGTTGCGATGACGCTTACGAAATTTCCCAACCCTACCCATACAAAATCCGCAACAACGACAGGCAAGGTTCTTACCCCAGTCCTCAACAACTTGGGACACTTGAACCTTAACCTTCGGAATTACGGTTCAATTTCCATGGGAAGCTTGTCGCAATGCAATGGGTTCCAAATCCAGACAAGAAGTCGAGGGTCAGACACATTGACGGTGACAAGCTCAACAACCGTAAGGAGAACCTCGAGTGGTTCTAAGAGTAAAAAAATTTTATTTTAGGGGGAAACCCCAAGTAAATTTAGGTGTTTATTTGGATAAGTATGTTAAATTAAGGGTAATTTGCAAAATTAGTTCCCGACCTTTGAATTGGGCTCTTTCGTTATCCCAGTTGCGTAGGAGGTCGTCCCAGAGGAGTTGGTAGAATTGCCAATCCAAGGACGATTTGTCCTCCCAGGCATTGAGGATGTACTGCTCGTAGAGTTTCATGACCTCTGCCTTGCACCAGACACCCTCTCCCTTGGAACGTAAGGCTTCTTCGAAGTGCTCGAATGCGATTGGCTGCGTGACCATCCGAAATGACACTTTTTGTCCGTTTGGTCAATGTTCGTGTCTCGTGCCATAGTCGACGAAAATACAGACAAACAGGTTATATATGAGTTTGAGACCAAGAATGGTGTAACTCGACCTGTCCGATTCAAAGACTCCGAGGGCGACCATGAAATTAAACGGAAATTAGCTAGGAAGGAATATAAAATGGACTGGTTGCCACCACCTCCACCTCCACCACCTTTACCTGTTCCTCAAGTAAATAAGCCTTTCCCGTTCCCAAGAATTCCCACATTTTAATTCAAATTCGAATAAAAATTTTTTATTTCATGCAATGTTTTATTTCTGTGCCGTCTTCAAGTATGCCCCAGTACTTACGCTTGGAGAGGACATGAACTTCGGTGAAAATTTTGTCCAATTTGAATTGACCCATCTTCTCACCGACTAAACCCATTTCAATGAGTTTGTTGTACCCTTCTTCGTTCGTCATGAGTGCGTCAATGTTCTCATAGTAAACCACAACTTTCGATTTGACTTCGGAGAAGAATTTGTTGTAGTTGTCAAGGACTGCCTTTGCGAACTGAGGGTAAGACCAATGTTCGACAATAGGTTTTAATGTGGTTACTAAGCCACTTTGACCTTGAGTGAATTCGTACTTCAAAACAAAAGGAGAAAACCTTTCAACAAAGTTGTCGACCTTCTCATAATGTTTACTCTTCATCTCTTGAGGTTTCTTAATGGAATATCCCCATGTCGAATTCATAAGCAATTTGAGTGTCATTGCAAGTTTGGGGTTTGAAGCTTTCCTAATATCATACAGTTGTTGTATGACTTTTCCAACTGTATAGTTCCTTCCCGGGAACTCACCATCTTCGTTTGGAATTCCAGTCGGAATATATTGGACAAACCTCATGTATGCAGCGTTAAGGTCGACATAGTATATCTTTTCATCTGAGTCGAACTTGTCGCAACCAATTGGTCCAGTTTGTGGAAATTCAAGTGAGTCTCTTATCTTCTGAGAAACTTCTCCTGTTATCTCATAAACATCGTCGAAGCAACCTGTTTCATATAAAACCTTCTGACCTAACTCAGATGCTCTCCAATACAATTTGACGTCAATTGGATGTCTCAATGGAAGTTTGTTTATAGCATCTTGAAGTTCTTGCAACCTCATTGGAAGTTCTTCTGGTTCAGGTTGGTATCCGAACAATCCAACTCCTTGTGGAATTGTGTACTTCTTTTGTACTAGAACTTTGTCTGGAACAACTTTTGGTCTTGCTAACAGTGAAAAGTTTGTTTCGTCTTTTGGTACAAAAGTTTCTGTCAGCTTGTCATCTGGAATTGGTTCCAACAAACCTTTCTCGAAAAGAATGTTTACAGCTCTGACAATGTTGCACTTGCCTTTTCCGAACAATGGGTTTGTAAGACTTTCGTTCAACATGAAGTGGTTGTGGACAATTACAATCTTCAACCATGGTAAATTGAACTCAACAACATAGTCGTCATGTGAAGAACCTTTAGCTGTAGGTATGTTGACTCGGATATTGACATTTGCCAACGGTGCAATTTTTGCCAATTGACCTCTGAGAATGTACCTTGTCTTCACACATGACTCAAGATACTTCATCTTCTCTTCTGTAACAAGACCAGAGTTCCTGAGACATGTAAGAATGCAAGGTTCATTGACAATTGTTTCAATTGAATTGTAAATTCCATACCTTGTCAAGTCAATGTCAGACTTATTTATGAAGGGGAAGTATCCAGCATGTTGTCTGACTGCTTGAGGGTTAGGTTGGTACCATTCGAACTTGACACTTGCAATTCCTTCAATTGCATTCAAAATGTCTGAGTCGGAGTCAACCATTTGTTCTCTCTTTGTAGTCTTGAAAGCGTCAAGAAGCATTGCAGCTGTTGTGACATTGCCATGTGCATAGTAAATGTGACCATCCAAATCTGTTATGGTCAATCTGAGATTGTATCCTTTCTTATTTCCATCTTGAATTGCAGCAAGTACTCCCATGAAGCCTTCTTTGTTCTTTCCTTCGTCAAAGTTTACTGTAAAGGTTCGACCAGATGTAATTTGACTTCTAACTTCACGATACTTCTCATATGCATATCTTGTTCTTTCCATGGGAGCATGACCATCCTCTGCACTACCTTTTTTCCTTCTCAAAGGATGCAATTGTTCGTCATGTTTCCAGTAGAATCTGGCAAAGCCGTCGTGTCCTTCAACTTGAGGTTCACTAACATCGAAAGGCATGTCCATAAGACGTTCTTCTTCTAACCTCTCTAGTCTGTTTGGATAATTTGCACGTGCTGTTTCCAAATCCATTTCGTAGCGAAGACCAGACAATTTGTCATAGACTTTTATGGGTCTTCCCTTCCTATATTTAAAATTCTTCGAAACTCTCCAACCATATCTTTGCAACTCTGCTTTTATTCTAGCAGATTTTCTATCCATTCTATATGGGGGCATTTTTATAAAAATAAAAAAATGTTTTTTTCTTTACTTACATAACCGCCTGCTGCCATAAGTCTTTGACGCCAACCCATACCAGCTAATGAAGGTTGACTTGGTTTAGTTTCCAAACTAAACTTTGGTTTTGGTTTATCTTCAGTTTTTGGTTTTTCTTCTTCTATCGGTTTTTCGTCACTTTTCGGTTCTCTGACTTTACTTCACTTGCAGGAACAGTTGTGTCGTCAACATCTTCATAAATATCATATGCCATTTGTTTTTGTTTTCCTTTCAACTTTTTGTGTTTGTTGTAAAGTTTAGAATATTTCGACTCTAAGTCAATGAGATGTTCTATAATGAACTGTTGGTCAGTGAAGTAAACTTTTCCATCTGTTGTCTCGAAAGCTCCTTCAGACTTCAATATTTTATTTGTGAGAGTCTGTTTCTTTTTTGAGATACTTGCCGTTCCATTTTTATGAAAAGTGACTTTGTAGTTAGGGTTTGTATTTCCAGACCTGGCACTTTCTATTATTGAATTTTTCTCTTCATCTGTAAGTTCTTTGACAGGTTTTGACAATGGTTCTGAACTTTTTGTTTGTGGTGTCAAATCTACCGTTTCAACTTCTTCGGTCATTTCATCTCAGTAAAAAATTTTAGTTTGGTTTGTTTTCAACTGGTTGTTGTTGTTTTTTAAGTCGGTCTAAAACTTCCTGAGGTATAGGAAGAACTTGACAAACACGTTGTGTAACTGCTGGAAGCCGACAAATCCATCTTGAACCCATTTGTCTCAATGCTGTATTGTTCATTTCATCTCAGTAAAAAACTTTACATTCCCCACGTTTGAGGCGGTTGAGGTTGGTTATTGTTTACCCATTGTTGTGCATGGTTATATCCTCTGTTAAAGAATCTTTCACCTTGGTCCATATAGTGTCCTGCTTGGTTATAGTAGTCATTTGCTTTGTTATAATAGTTTCCTGCTTGTCTTCCTACATTGTCCATCCATCCTTGAACTTTTCCTCTTGTTTCAGGATTTGGAATAAGATTTGTTGCATCTCGTGCTACATCCCAACCTTTCTGTACAGTTTGTATAATAGGTTGTGCTTTCTCTTTAAGTATACCTAATGTACTCAAAATCTTCCTTCCAACTCCAAATACACCTCTGGCTATTGTTCCCACTGCGGGCAAAAATCTGGATGCAACTCCTGCTAATGCGCCAAATAAACCCATTTCTTATAGGATAAAAATGACGAATCCAAACAAGGACCCCTATGTTTCTAAAGCGACAAAAAAGCACTCATGATAAAAATCTTTAGTTCAACACCAAATGCTTGGTTTATGGATATCTTGGAAAACATTCCGAGGTATAGAGAAGATGGACCACCATACTGGCTAATATTTGTCGGTCAAAACACAAGATACTGTGAAGCCATACCATTATGGTCCAAAAATATTTTAGATGTGAAAACTGCTTTGACAATATTCGTTGACAAATACCATCCAACAAAACTGACATCTGACTGTGAAAGTTCTTTCAAATCAGATGATGTAAAAAACTATCTGCGTTCAAAAAATGTAAACCAATATTTCATTGTCGACCAAAACCATTCTGCTCTTGGTGTCATTGACGGTTGTATAAAAATGTTAAGAGACTTAAACCAACCACAAGGTGGTGAAGCAAATGAAATGTCATATGACGACAAATATAGACACTTCTCCATGGCAAAGATGAGACAAGTTTTAAATATTTACAATAGCCGTAAACAAAAAGGTTTGGGAAACCACTCCCCCGAAGAAATGAAAAACAACCCTGACTTAGAGAAAGACTATATATTTAATAATTTAGTCAAAAGAGACAAACAAGAAAGAATGCCGGGCTTCAAACTTCAGAAAGGTGACAAAGTAAAAATAGAAATACCTAAACGCGACCCATATGAAAATACTATTGACTATGACAACAATGGGAACCCGACAGGTACTCACATTCGTGTTCGTAAAAATAGAAGAAAGTATACAAGAGAATATTATGAAGTTTTAGGCAAACATGGCAAAATGTACAGACTGCAAGCAGAAGATAAAACTACTATTGTCAGACCTCGTTTCAAACTTGTCAAAGTTCAAGGTGGTATACTTTCAAAGACAGTTCCTAACAAATATAAGACAACTCCTGACGAATATGCTAAAGAAGTTGAAAATGACGACTAAGCATTTCTATACCATGCGTAAACTGTCATGTAAGGTGGCATGTATTCTTTACTTTGTCCCGTTGTTTGCGTATATCCTGAAACGCGATGTGTATGGTTTCCTCTCCCTCAGTGTTACTCCAGTAACAATTTATAGCAAACTTAACGTTGTCTTTAACATCATATCCTTTACCTTTTTCATTGCTGACCAATCCCATCTATGCTTATGCCAACCTGCTTGAGATGTACTTAAATCTATGTAGTGACTGTGTGCAGGTAAATTTTCACCTGAAATCGTTTTACTTCCACCTGTTTCCTTTGAAGAGTTTGCACAATACAAAAACCTGTCGACTATTTGAGTCCAAGTTCCAAAACCCAGAACTGTTTGGTTGGTAGAGTTCATTGACGTATAAATAGAGCCTATAGGATATAATGTTTGAAGTATTTCTGTCTTTAATGTTTGAAGCTCTGTTTTGTCTGCTTTCTTGTCATATAAATCTTGAGCAGTGAATTTAGTATTATATTCATCCTTCATGACATAAACATCTTTACATCTAATGTTTCTCATCGTCGTTATGTCGTCATCCGATGTTAAACCTTGTGGAAAGTTAGGAGGTTTACAATATAATGCATCCCCACCAGTTACGTCAACCGTTCCTTCAATACTTTCTATAGCAACAGTTGTAAAACTTGTATGTGTATGGTTCTTATTTGCTTTCTTCTCTAACTCATCGTTAACATAAGTTTTATCTGCTTTAAGGTCTAAACATCCTGAAACCCATCCTGTATCGGCTTTAGTTTTTAAAATCTTCGATGTCCATTCATGGTACCAGTCAACCCTTTCTATAATTTCTTTATCTTTTTCATCCACATATTCCTTATCTGCTTTTTCTCTAACGCACTAGCCACACAATCCTTATCCGCTTTCTTTTCAAGGCTAACGTTTAAGTCTGTTATTTCAGATATAGAATGTGTATGAGTCTTTTTAGAATATTCGTTTTCAGCTCTTGTCACTTCACTTGACATTTTATTGTCAACATATGTTTTGTCTGCTAGTTCAGGATGAGTATGTTCTTTTGTTGCATAAGCATTGTTAGCTCTTTCTTCTTCTTTTGCTATTGCATCGTCTACATATTCTTTGTCAGCTTTGTTGTCAACATCTGCTTTCAAAAGAAGTTCATTTATAGGTTTCTCGTTTAAAGTTCCTTTTGTTGGATTTATACAGACAGTATGGTTCTTATTGTCTTGAAACAGAAACTCATCTGTCATTGGGTTTAATGTCAGTTTTAAGTTTCCTTCTTTCAATGACTCAGATATCTTAGAATAGTTTGAAAAGTTTGTTGTGTTCTTATTTAGAGCTTGCATAATGAGTTGTCGGTTGTGTTGTATTTCTCTCATGGAAGCAATATCTTTCGACATTTTTATTCTAGATAAAATATGCTTCCAATAGAAAAAGAAAATTCAAGAGTTGCTACAACTAAACCATTAGATGAACTTTTTACTAATGTCGGTCAAAAGTTTGAGACAGAGACCGTAAAGCATGAAGGCTATCGTTTTGACTACCCATTAAGATGGTTAAGAGACCCATCTGTCACAAAAGCTATTGGCTTTCGTAGAATGAAGTTCATTTCAGAAGCCATACATGGTTTCCCATTTACGGTCGGTTTTGAAGTTCGATACTATAACAAAGAAAAACGTATGTATGAGAAATTTGAACAGGGAAAACTTTTACAAGTTAGTTTGCTTGTAAACTTAGAAACAACTCTTCAAGCTTTTCAAGAAAAAATAAACGATATCTATATCGAATATGCAAAACAATATAACATTGACGAGGGAGAGTACCATCTCGATATTATTTATGACAGGAAAAATGCAACTGTTAAAATCAATAGAATAGAAGACCTTGGAGAAAACGTTTATATTTCTACAAAATATAACAACTTGGCATGGTATAGATTTATGAGGATGTTAAATCAGCCTGCAGCATATCCA